GCGTCGTGTTTCTAAAGAAAATTGCGTAGCGTGCAAAGGTAGCCGCCGCTTGCGATACGTCGTATAAGCATCCAACACAAGCTGGAGTACGGTCTCTTAGGTGTCCATGACACCACCTGTAAAGAGCGGAAGGCTGCAGCCGGGCGCTTTTAACATCCAACACGAGATGGAGTACGGTCTTCAAGTTGTAGGCAAGTAAACAAATAGCTTCAATATCAACCTAACGATTATGCCTCACATATGGTAGTTTCGAGTAAAAGGTCGGCGCTAAACGGCAGAAGACCGTTTGCAAGAAGACGTTATCCCATTATCCAGCCCGGGGAACTTCATGTCGGACTTAACTCTAAAGCATTCGGCCAAGTGGGAGGAGTATTAGCTCAAAACGGACTCTGACAAGGCGGTATTCTTCGACGTTGCTATCCCGCTCACCAATGCTATCGTAATCTAGATGGGCTTGGAAACCGATCATATCACTTACCGAATGAACAAGCAGGTTATCGAGGCCGCCGTTTGAGATTTGATTTAGGATCCCGAGGATGTAGAAACTCTCATGTTCAAAGCGCGATGCGCATATTCTCTACTAAAGAGCCGTCAGGTGTCTGCACGTTCACCATCTAGACGCCCATTGCCTACAAGCTGGCGAACAAGCCCGTCGGCGTCAGCATGAGGCAGACCACCCTAGCAATTCAGGTAGCCAAAGAGGCGGCCAATGTACCGAATCTCGCCAGCATGAATCAAACGAGGTAGCGAAATCTGTCCGCGTGCTAAGCGCTGCTATGTTCCTGCTGACAAGGTACATCGTATGTATGTATGTTATGGATGCGTGTTTACTGGGTACAGATAATCGGGAGTGACTCACTTTCGTGAGAACATAAGGTAAGCATAAATGAGGTACAGTTGTCATCTGGTACGCTGATAAACAAAAGATTACCAGGTAGTGATAAGGACGTTGGGACGAAGATGTCTCATGCACGATGAAAACATGTAGATACAGGACTTAGATGTAACCTGGTTATCATGAGAACAAAGGACCTCAATTAATAAATCACTTCGGTACTTGCCTTTTAACGAATCAGTTGACCATCTCTAACCTTCTAGATCTTTCTGATTGATTTCGATCGCTTTAAATGCATACACATGCCAAGACTCATCCTTTGGTAAAATTAGGGGTCAGTCTGTTTGGCAACGCAATCTATTCTATGTGTGCTTCTATTCCTTTCCGTTCCTCAGCTCGCACACCATTTTCTCTTGGTTTGAGATGCCTCACAAGCTGCTTGAATCCATCAGCTCCTGTAGGAAGCAGCACCTGCACGGCATCCTCCTTGGGTGGAGCGCCGAGTATGACCGGCGCGATATCTGGTATGATCACTCATCTGCCGCAGGCTAGTCTTGGAGGCTTCCGTTGCTTGTGGTGTCTGCCGCACCAGCAAGAACTTCCGCTACAAGCGACGTATCAGAAATTAAGTAAGAAATCGTGGTGGGCAAAATTTGTTCCCTTGATGTCACAAATTTGGAAGCAGCAGACGCTCGTTTTCTTGTTCGGTTTTGTTTGTTTAAAGATGTCGACCACGCGTTATCATGCCATGCTCCTTGCCACCTTTATATTTTAGAACATCGGCATAAAATCATCACACACCGCGTGGTAGTGAGCCGACAAGCGTTGAATGGTGGGGTCCATGCTAAATCACTGCATAAATCACAAGTATCATAAACACAGTAGTGATAAAGCTGCAAGGACGACGCCTGGCGCTCAGCCACAAAGTTAACTGTGCAAAAGTTGATCATCGACCTGATGTTCACCATCGGCAAAGTGTGGTAGAATAGCCGGTATCTTGAATCGGACGCCAAACGCACGCCATCCGACGCGATTACGCGGCTGGGTACCCCAATATTGCTGGCTTCGATGAAGACCTCAGCCGTTTTGAAATGACGCGGCTCGCCGCTCTAGACGATCACACAGGCACATTTTTCTCGACAGTATCGCTTCACTAATATTTGGCAATTTCGAAGACTTCCTCGGATGCATAGCGCTACGGGATGGCCACAACGATGGCAGCGTTTATCCCGCGCCACTGAAGCATCTTTTTAAGCTGGTCAAGATTAAAAAACGCGACTTTGAGTTGCATATCGAGAAGCAGAAGGAGTTACTGGACGCTTTGTGGAGGCCAGACTACACGAGCAATATCGGTGCCCGATTCATGGCGCTCTGCGTGACATATCGCTCCGACTAGTCACTGCAGTCGGCCATCTGATATGCGGCTACAAGTGTCAAACAGTTCCCAGGCTGAACGGGGTATAAGCGGCCCGATCGACCAGCTTGCCAGCTTTGTTTGTGGCTTGAAGTTGCCTTTATCAACACGGCACCGGATGAGAGTGACTTCTCCATCCTAAAGATTCGTAAAGACGCGTATAACAAGTCACTAACCGACTTTATGCCGAAGGGTTTTCGCAGTGCAAGTATTATAACATGCAATGCGAAAAGAAAAGTTAAGCGCGTGTGTATACCTCATTTTCAGGCATGACGCCTATTCTGCTGAATCTCATTTTTAAACGGTGGCTAATATCACTTTAACCAGGCAGATTCAGCAGTTGTTTGATCGAAAGTGGCCTGCAGATGAGCAAAGACATCTGTATTTCTAAATAAAAATGCATAAGGTAAAAAAAAGTGTATGATGTTACTAAAATAGTAAATATAGGAATATAAGGGTACCTGAATAAAAAGCGAAGTAAGCTGTATCTAACAAAAACATTCCACTCTCTTGGAGGATCAAGGAATTAAAAAAGCTCGTAAATTTTCTTTCTTTAGACCCTCAATCTATTTCCGTGCAGATACTTCCTACATTACGTTGTAAATAGGCCTACACCATTTTTAGTGTTCTACACCATTAGCCCAAATTGACATTTCTAAAATCTCAAGCACCAGTTCTTCCATGTTAAAGACATCTTTGAACTCTTAGCGAGCTGTTACAGCCTGAAGGCCAGGTAATACTACATCCACGATTTTTTGTTTCGCTAAATCACTGTCGACATAAAGCCTGATGATGCACGGATTTTTTCGCTGCTGGAATCGTTGCACTTTCACAAAGAATTGGTGGTGTCTCTAAGTAGGCAAAGGCGTTCAATAATTATCTGGTCCTTAAACTCATAACTTTATTACCAACAGGGACATTTCTTGTATGACCTATAAGCACCCAAGCTGACACAGGTCTTCTTCCAGTTTGAGATCTGATTGACTCTTGGGTGTTTGGTAGAAAGTTCGCAATCGGTCGTGAATTAAAGATTAGTGCCCTTCTTGATTACGAGAGAAACGCCATTCTGGGTGATGTGACTCCAAATTTGCTTGAAGACCGATTTGTTGAGTGAGTGCTGCTGTTGCATTTCATTTGCAGCTTAGTCCAGTTTTATGGAATAGATTACTCATATCACAGAACGATCTCCAGAGCTTGCTCCCCTGACTTATTCTTGGCCTTGTGCTGGCAAATCTCGTGCCCTTGTGCACTGATGCCGGTACTTCGGACTATTAAATTTGGAAAAGAATCACTATTTCGCTGTTCTTTCTTTTCACAAAGAGGAACCCAAAAAATTACGTAACTCATGACTCGGCTAAATCATAGATTTTGTCTTCATTGAGCCTATGAGTGTCCGAGTGATGCTGTATACGTAAAAGCGTCGGCAGCCATACATTTGAAGCCCGCACTGTTTTCATCATCGAATATCATCAATGCACACATTTCTGTGGATGACGAGCATGTAAAATCTCAAACTTTTGTGGTAGCGTTCTGGCAATCTTAACCTCCTCTCGTTTTCATCGGGCAGGGTGTCGTTGCTTGGCTATTGTCAGAGTTCCTTGGTTCTCGTCTACACTGGCTGTAGACTTCGTGCTCGAACTTCCAATGGCTTGGTTGGTCGTGGGGTCAAGGACTGGCCTCATGTTATTGCTTTCACATGTTGTCATTGATCGCCACTTAAAGGAGGGCCTACAATTCACTGAGTGGGATGTTCGCGGGCAGCGAGAGATTTTAACTTACCCTAAATAGTGTAAACACTGTACCATAAACCTGGACTTGGTCGTTTGGAGTCTTCATTGTCGCGGAATTAGTCGAGCGAGGGAAATCAAGGCAACTGTCAGGAAATAGAGCATCCCACTTTCAGGGACGTTACCCAGACCATCGATGAAATAGGTCCCAACATTTGTGTTCAGTTACATAGCATGAGAAGCAAGCGCCAGGATGTCGCATTTTTGTGTGCTCGTTGCACAGTGTACAATGCTGTTATTATCGGCGGTGAGCCAGCAGTTATAACAACATGATATTTTTGGCAAGAAGAGCACAGCATATACAATGCCCATAAACTGACTGCAATATGAAAGGTCTAAACTTAAAGGCCGAACCACAGTGACTATCGCCGCAAGATGCTCGATGACGTTTTTATCGCTTACTGTTTGCTAACAATCCATGCGTTCTTTCCACCGGCTTGCCGAGAACACTTCGGACATGCTGCAACCCGAAAGCGTCAACATGTTGCACTATGTGAAGATCGATCTAGGAAGGTAGATGCGTAGCTCAAAGGTAGCAGCAGTTGGCTCACCTTCAAGACGTTGTTGCCTCGATTTGGCTTTGTATTGCACGAATGGATTTTTACATTATGATGATCTGTTTTGTATACGAATTTAACAGACTTTGAGAACGAACGATCGTTAGATAGTGATCGAAGTTAGGTGCATCAAAGGTATGGTGCTGTCATATGTGGCGTCAACCCGTGGATGTTTTTTTGACCATAAATTACTGTACGCGGTCGGTAGATAATGTACGGACAGCATCGTTATCGGTACTGTAAGGTTCTACATTCTACGACTCATTTGGAAATAAATTGCGGCTTGAACGATTTGGTCCCACAGAAAAAAAGCCACTAAAGAATATCAAATGTCTGATACTTTGATCATAATAAAAGTGTATGATTGGCTAGTTCGCAGCTAGATTAACGACCTTAAGAACGAAATACTAGTACGGTGCTAACAATGGTGAGGTCTTATAATTTGTCACTTCCCTGCTTTCAGTAGCTTCTAGTGCCGCTGCTTCTTGCAGTCGCTTCGAGTCCATGCGGATGTAGCCCTTGACCAATCCGTGGAAGGCCTTTACCCACTGCAGAGGACTCAGCAGCTCAGTTCGTCCACAACTGTCCTTGTTGCCACTAGACGAGAACGAGAAAAGAAGATGGAGATACTTTTGCACGTACTGATTGAGCTGCTGGAACCCCATGTCGTCATCCGCTAGGGGCTGAAGTAGCGAAACGTCCTTCAGGATGTCATCGACACTGATGCCCGAGTCCAGCACATCCAATAGATTCCCAAGTTGCGCTTCTGCGCGTCCATCGGCCGTGGCTGTTCGTTGAGACACCACTACCACGCAGTGTGTCGGGTCCAAGTTGAACACCCGTCGTTCCTTGCTCAGGTTTGCTACACTCAGCGCATCACGCATGCGCAGCGAACCAACCGTGCTGCCCCGCAAGGAACGAAACAGAGCTGTCAAGCGCGCCTCAAGTGCTTTACAGTACGATACTGTGGCCGAGCGGGAGGACCCAGACCCTTGTGTTTTGATCGAGGCGGACAAAATCGCGTCTGGTGCTGGAACGACGTGCACTACTAACGGCACGCACCGACCAGGTGCAAATGCATTTCCTGCTGTTCCACTTGACGGACCTTTCACGTGGCCACTGGTGCGTTTCGAGTGCTTGGTCGTCGTTGGAACGAGGCTCAGCAGCTGCGACTTCTCCGCAGCCAATGCGCGAACTTCTTTCAATGCATTCGTCGTCATTCTTGCGGTTTCGTTCATCACAATCAACATGTGGCAGCTAGAGTAAAGTAAGGCTTGCATCTTGAGCTTCTCGTGCTCGAAAGCGCGCACTTCAGCACGTATTCGCTGTCCCTCCTTCACCTGCGTCTGCTCTATAGCGTCCCTCTCAGCGGTTTTCGGTCTATGACCCAAGAGCGGCTTGTTCTTGCTGCTGTTTAGCGTCGTAGTTCTACGTGGACGGAAGCTCAAACTTGCTGGTCGTGATACCCCCAGCAGGTAAATGCATCGGGCCTCGTCGTCGTAGAACAAGTGGATGGTAGCAGGCAGTCGCTCGTTCTTCACAGTGGTCGAAATTGCCATTTCTTCATCTCGGAAGACGTAGCGGCCAATGACGCGGTTGGCAAACGCAAAGGCGCGCGAAGGAGACGAGGAGCTCGTACTGAGGAACCCCAGGACGGCCACGTTCCGGTTCTGTAGCGACTGCAGCGCAGCAAGAGAACTCCTGCGACCGCTTTCTGGAGGATAGATACGCACTGGTTCATTCTGAGAGCGGTCGAAGGGGAGCGGGGGCGCGGGAGGCGACGACGACGAGGATGAGGGAGGAGGAAGAGGAGGCGGTTTCGCCATGACTTGCATGAAAGTGTGTGGTTTACATCAAAGAGGAGGATGGATTACGTACCTAAAAAGATGTGACCAAAAGTATGGTCCGGTGGCATGGGCAATGGGTACACTCCCGTAAGTACGGGATGATGTTGCTCGTGATTCAAAGCGATCTTACCGTCACTGGCTGGTTAAGACTGTTTTCTGTCGTGAGAAAAGGCATTAAAGTATCGACTCCTTTACACCGACATTTATGACACCTGCTGTAGCTTCGAAATCGCTTGCCGCTGCTTCACTGACCGCAATTTGGGAACCGAGAACACATGCATAAAACTTTGCTGAATAGCCGATGCTAGCTCTTTGCAGCCCTCCGCCATGAATCTCCTTTTGATTAGTAGGTCGCAGCGTGAATCTTATCACTAATGTGGTCTATGCTGCCGCAACATGTTTATTTACATCTCTAATGTCTTGAGAGAACTGATCGGTGGACCTAAATAGCGTCACCTAGCACACTTCTCCGGCGTACATCTCGTATCCGGCTCGATAAGGATTACCACTTTTCAGCACGCGCGCAGCACACCACAACAATGCTCCGCGTAAAATCTATCTGTGTAATCTGCATTTAATCTTTGCTGCAGAGCAAGCGGCACATACACTCCTTTTACCGCCGTCAGGCACCAGAAAGAAACTTCGTAGGCGTGTCTTGACATAGTCGATGTGCAGATTAGACTGTCCTTGAACGACGCAAATGGATGAGAGGTGCTCTGATCATTCCACTTTATGCAAGCACATACGTTAAAGGTGCTTCTTCAAGCCTTTCTCTTCGTGAAAGTGAACGATTCAGTTACAATGCCGATTCCGTATGCACTCGCCTGAAAGTTATCTTAGTACGACCTGGCATCCGCGGTATTGCTGACAGATTCATTTAGTTCCATTCTCTCAACCAATGTCCTGTATACATCGACATTAACGCTACAATGAAGGCGTGGTAAATGCATCATACCAATACAACAAGTGGACAAAAAGCGATAGGGAAATACGACCACTAGCTTTTGATATCCGTGACTTATATCCTGCAATGAGCAAAGGGTTATACGGTGCTGTCTGCGTTGGTAGCATCATATTTTTTTCCTGCGAGTTGTCCACGGATTAAAACAACGATGATGACACCACTGGACGTGCATACGATGTTTGTAGAGGACGATCATGACATGTTGTTAGTACAATATGAAATAAGGCTTTAAACTAGGATAGACTCGGTGAGAGAAATCATCTTCACTTGCTGGCATTATTGGCTCCTCAATTAAACTGTCTTAGTATGTCGCAAGACAACTGTTAAAGTGCTTGGCATCATCAGTGACGGCTGAACTGCAGTATACGCTTGTTCGACGCCATTCGCAATCTTGTGGTGTCTAAGGTGTACAGTAGACGCAACTGCTTAATCCAGCCGAGAACGACGGTTGTGCATGCGTACTTTTGGCACCATTTGTCACCCCTTCCACTTCACAAGAGTGGTCGGATACCAGCCATATGAAAAAATGTGAAGTTTTGCGGAGGAATGAAAAACTGTGCACCTCAAGTGACTTTATATGATGTGGTCGTGCACCTCCGTGGCATGCATCGCATGCTGCAACGAAGATCATCAGCCGTCACAAGTTGCCGTACATGACTCTACCGAATGAATAACGCTGCAAACGTAGAAGCGTTGTTAATAGCGGCTGAGTCATTGTGCGATGCATGCTAAGCTCATAGGGCGAATGGATGCATGGATCATCGCCTTTGCCACATTGAGATTCTACAAAACGTACGTTACGAAAGCAAAAACTTTACTGTAGGTGTAGAATCGAGCAGTCATGAGAAAGGAAAGCGTGTCCATAGTGGTTAGCAGAACATGACGTATACCGCCTCCAACGAAAAGAAGCTTGTCGATAGCAATGCAGAAAGTGGAATGTGCAATAGGATGTTACATTTTAAACGCTTTGCAGTACAGATTGACAGCCCATCCATGACAGCGCATCATTATACTCGAAGCCAGCACTGCGCCTAAAAAAGTATCACATCATGTGGTGAGCCACGTGCGAACGGGTCATTCGACACAGGCGTTGCTAATCTAGTTTAGAACATATCATAAGTCTTGATCACATAAATGTCGTCTAAAGGCTATCTGTAGCGGAGCTCCACAGCTCCATATGTCAGGGGAAGACTTAGTGCTCTACAAGCAATGTTAGTTCTACAAAACTAGACTCTATGAGTCAACAAGCGTAAAGCTCAAGGTCCCTGTTCCAGGGAGCCGAACGATTTAGTTAGTTCAAAGCACTAAGTGCTCAAGAGTAGCTACCTCAGGGAGGTGTTGCTAACTCTTACGATCTACAATCCGAGAAGCCTCGCAAGGCACGTGTCTTAGACTAGATCGAAAGGGAAACCGAACTTTATTTACGTTTGGCTCTACAGAATATCTGAATACTAATATTACCTAATCCAGGCATTCATGTCCTAAATAAAAATCTTCAAAAATTTGTATCTTGTGGCTGACACCCGTCAGCCACTAGTATCGATAAGATATTCCATTCCTCTATCAATGGGATACCATCCCGTATTCTAAGAAACAGTATACAAAGTACCCTAAGATGTGCAACTCCTTAACAAGTAGGGACAAGAGTTTCACACTCGTTCAATTTCAAGTTAATATGTACTTAATGTCTGAAAATCTGATCTAGTTTCAAGTGCCAAGTGGGGCAACGATCATGGTTTATCCCCGCGTATGCAGAGTGTGTTGAAGGTAATCGAGTACGAGATCAAGGCGCAAATCAACTGGCTACAGATTGTCTCAAGGAACTTTGTAGTCACGGTTCAACTGGCTGGATCGATCTGCATCAGATGTATAGTCATGGTGCAAGTACACAAGGACCGGTTGACGTGTATACGATTCAATTTTATGATGAGTGGATACGAAGAGCAAAGGATCTTCAACAGCTAGGGAGAGCATTAACAAACCACTCAATGCAATTGCTCACTGGTGTATTTGACCACTTCTGCAACAGCATATCGCAAGTTTAACTCTAAAGTATTATCAGGTTATGAGCCCAACAACGTTCGACAAGGTCGACAAGTTCGACGGTTCCAACTACCAGTTATGGAGTTTTAAGATGATGATGTACTTATGGTCTCGGGGACTGTGGGGTCAAGTGGATGGGAGATCGCCGCCAGACCGTGCGCTGATGGAGCAAGCGCATGCGGCAATCGTGCTGAGTCTTACTGACTCGCAGGTACTACACGTGATCACGACGGCGACGGCTATGGACGCATGGAACACGCTGCAGCGCCTTAACGAGTCTAAGGACATGGCTAGTCGCATGTGGTTGAGAGAGAAGTTTTCGACGTTTCGCTACACAGCGAGCTCGATGGAGAAGCATTTCGAGGAGCTGGAGGCTTTTGTTTTGCAGATGGGCGGCGCGGGGTGCCTTCCGGATGAAGAAGACGTGTGTGCGACGCTGCTACGCAGCCTCCCAGCGTCGTTCGAAGGTTTGGTGCAGGCGTTCCGTATGAGCGTCGGCAAGTTCACGTACGGAGACGTGATGAGTCGAGTGTTGGCGAAAGACATTAGATAGAGGGAGCAAGGCCGCATAGAAGAGGAGACGGCAATGTTAGCTGGAAGAGGAAGACAAGAATGGAAGAAAAAGCCATTCGACAAGCGTGTATTCCAGTGCTATCAGTGCGGAAAACGCGGTCACTTTAAGCGAGAGTGCCCAAACGGAGATACTGAGACACACGAATCAAACGTGGCGTTCCATGTCACGAATACCCATGGGGGCGTATGCCGTGAGTGGGTGGTCGACCGTGGAGCGTCAAACCACATGTGTGCATCGAGGGAGGCATTTGTGGATTATCGTGTTGATCACAGCAACCGCACAGTGTCAGTAGCCAAGTCTGGCGTGACGTTACGGGTGCTTGGTGTCGGAACGGTCGTGCTTGACTTAAACGTTTATCCTACGATCCAGTCGGTTGGACAACCGACTGGATTGGTGTGCGCTCGACTCGAAAACACACTGCACGTGGAGAATTTAAGTCGCAATTTGTTTTCAATACCGGCGATCTTGGCTAAGGCGATGCATGTCAGCATGGACATCAACGAATGTAAGATCTACCGGAACGGCAAGGTCGTTGGAAGCGGCACGAAGAGAGGTAATCTTATTTACCTAAACGTTGGCAATGACGCTGAGTGTCATGTAGCCTCTGAAGTAGGCGACCTATGGCACCGTCGATTCGGACATGCGTCGCACGACTCGGTTGCAAAGGTCCTTGCGAAAAACAAGATCTGTACTGGAAGTATTAGCAATAAGTTATGCAATGTGTGCGAACTTTCAAAGCAAGCACGAAAACCGTACCCAACGCACGATACTAATGTGAATGTACGATCGGATATCGTATGCTCAGATGTACTTGGACCAATCAGCCCTGCGTCTCGATCCGGATGTGCGTACGCAGTGACGTTCATTATGATGAAGACACGCTTCGTGAAGGTGTATCCGGTAGTGCGAAAGTCAGACGTGCTACCTAAGTTCATCGAATTCCGACAGTACATGAAGACACAAGCGGGAGTGAGTGTGCGCACTATTCGCAGTGATAATGGAGGGGAGTACACCTCAACCGACATGAAGACTTACTGCGCGCTGAAGAGTGTCAAATAGGAATTTACGATCCCGCACAACCCTCAGCAAAATGGTATGGCCGAGCGTGCTAATCGGACGCTGGTCGAGATGGCTCGATGCATGCTAAAAGACAGTGATATGGAGAAGACATTCTGGGCGGAGGCTCTGGTGACTGCCGCGTACATTCGCAACACAATCAGCACGGCGACGCGTACTCACACTACGCCGTATGAAGAAAAGTTTAATCGTCTTTTCGATTACGGCAGTCTTCGCGTGTTTGGCACTGAGTGCTTTGCTCACGTACCAAAGACAAAGAGGTCAAAGCTTGACGACAGCGGTGTTCGATGCCGTATGCTTGGGTACCTCGAAAATCAGAAGGGCAATCGCCTACTGAACGCATCAACGGTCCAGATAATGCACTCGCGAAGCGTCACATTCGATGAATCTGCGCGTGAAAAAGTGAAGCCAGAGACTGACGAAGATGTCGAGTCAGATGGACACGAGACCGAAATGACAGATACTAAGTTTCACGGTTCAGTAGATGCGAATTTGAACGACAACGATGCGCGCGGGATGGCAAGTGAACATCAGCTCGTGCATTGCAATTACCCTCAAACGCATCAGCTTCAAATAGTTGATCCACGGGGATCATTATCCTTACCCGGCTTCACCAGTATTCAGCCACACGGTAATGCTGAAGTTCAAGTTCAAGGTCATCATCAACTAAATGGATGTACCGACATAGTGCTACCGGATCCGGAAGAGAGCATGTCACCTCGAATGACTGGTCGACAGATGATTACCAGCAAGCCGTCTGGTATTCCTGATCGAGACGGCTTAAATCAGCGACGGGTGCGACCTGCGCGGAAGAAGCGTGGTATACTACGCTATGAAGACGAGTTCAATGGAATGCGTCGTATGGATTTTAACGAGGCAGACTTGGAAGACGAGTTTGATGGTCTGCATTGCTACTCAACTGCATTGAACGATGAGAAACAGACAACGTACGATGGTATCATGCAGTCTGAATTGAAGGTTCAGTGGAAAGCGGCAATGGATGCTGAGATAAAATCGCTGTCGCAGCATAAGACATGGGAGTTGGTCGACCTTCCACCAGGAAAGAAGATGATCGGCAGCAGATGGTTGTTTAAGGTGAAACTGAATGCGGATGTCAGCATAAACAAATTTAAGGCGCGTCTGGTCGCTCAAGGGTTTACACAGCAGTTTGGAGTCGATTTTAATGAAAAATTTGCGCCTGTCGCAAAGCAAACAACTGTGCGCACCGTCTTGTCGATTGCAGCTGGTGAAAATCTGGATGCAGAACAGGTTACTGTCGACACAGCTTTTTGGTTGCACCGATCGAAGAAGAGCTGTATATCAAGCAACCAGACGACTATGAAGATAAGACGCACCCATACAAGGTCTGCCGATTTGCTTAAGAGCCTATACGGGACAAAACAAACAGCACGCCAGTGGAATAAAACTCTGGACGATTTTTTTGGTGCCCATGACTTTGTGTGAGCCGATGCAGACCCGTGCTTGTATACGCGCATCAGCAGTAGAGAGTATTCAGCGGTCGTCGTCTACGTCGACGACATGATTATCGTAAGTAAAACACAAGATGAGGTGCGCAAGATCATCAAAGATCTCAAGACCGCGTTCAGCATCAAGGAGCTCGGAGAGCCACGATTTATCCTTGGTATCGAAGTAACTCGTGACCGGACCAACCGCACCCTTACATTGTCGCAACGCGGGTACATTCAGCAGCTCGGTGAAAGATTCCGAATGAAAAATGCAAAGCCCGTTTATCTACCGGCCGACGCGAATTCGCGCTTAAGACTTGCCGCTGCAGGCGCTCAATGCATCACGAATGTACCGTACCGAGAGCTGGTCGGATGCCTTATGTACATCGTTACGTGTGCAAGACCCGATATCGCGGATGCAGTCGGCAGTGTGGCCAAGTACTGCGAGAACCACACGAGCGAACACTGGTCAGCGGCAAAGCGTATACTCAAGTACCTGTTAACGACTCAACATATCGCGTTGGTGTATGATGGTCATTTGGCAACCGAGCTAATAGGCTTTGCAGATGCGAGCTGGGCTTCGGGGATGAAGACACCAGGCGTTCCACAACTGGTTTATGTGTTTATCCTGATTGGTGCAGCTATCGCGTGGAGTTCGCAGCGACAGCCGACAGTCGCAGGTTTTAGTACAGAAGCAGAGTACATGAGCCTGTACTCTGCCACTCAAGAGATGACATGGCTGAGGCGGTTGCTCAAGGATCTGTGTATGTACAACGATGGACCGACGACAGTATATCAGGACAACCAAGGATCTATTGCGCTTGCACGGAATTCAGTGTACAACTCGCGAACAAAACACATTGACACTAAGTACCATTTTTCGAGAGAACGTGTCGAGTCGAGCGAGCTACATGTCGAGTACATATCAACGGCAGATATGGTGACCGATGCGTTGACAAAGAGTGTACCCCGCCCAAAGCTTGAGAAGTTCAAGTTACAGGTTGGGTTGAAGAAACTTGATCGCGTATCGTTTAAGGGAGAGTGTTGAAGGTAATCGAGTCCGAGATCAAGGCTCAAATCAACTGGCTACAGATTGTCTCAAGGAACTTTCCAGTCTCGGTTCAACTGGCTGGATCGATCTGCATCAGATGTATAGTCATGGTGCAAGTACACAAGGACCGGTTAACGTGTATACGATTCAATTTTATGATGAGTGGATACGAAGAGCAAAGGATCTTCAACAGCTAGGGAGAGCATTAACAAACCACTCAATGCAATTGCTCACTGGTGTATTTGACCACTTCTGCAACAGTATATCGCAAGTTTAACTCAAAAGTATTATCAGAGTGTACTCCGAGATTGTTATCTCAAATATGCGTGAAGACTAAAACTTTGTACTGCTGTTACCGATGGTGATATTTACGTATTGATGTAGCCTTCAACCATAGGAGAACGACGCTTTGATACTTTGAGGCGGTCGTACGTAGTGGAGTTGGCTCATACCACTGCATTTTGGTTTGCCCTCCTAAGTACTTGTCGGAAAAAGCTTTACTAAGTTGTAAACAAGGTCGAATACTGATTCGACCACCGTGACATCTTTGTTGAAATGTTTTACAAGCACAAAATAGACATTTAGTCATTGGTTTAGCTTGAAGATTGACGCAGTGATTTAGTTTGCTATGATAGGACCCTACATAATATTCTCTCGCTATTCCCCCATGCCTGATTCGATATGTCAAACACGCTTTGCGTTTGGACAACCCTTCAAAATGCGCGCTGCGGTCTCCCCTTGCAATTTTTGAGATTCTTTTTACAGTAATGGCCCATTATGCTGGTTGGCATGACACAGGTTAAGCTGTTCGCTCTCTATAATAGTGTGGGGATAGAAAATGTCAATTACTTACATTCCCTTCACCACTAGTAATGAGCGATATGGTGGTATCTCACATGCTCTACATGTAACGGGGCACCAGTCGCTTGTGCTGCCAGTACAAGCTGATTAATCTGAACACAGAGTAAGTTGGTGCCTCGAGAATTTACGTACACGCGTCGTGCAGAGGAAGGGTTTAACACGATAAAAGGGTAAAAGAATAACTGTATTAAGTATAGCTAATATCCCGTCAATAGATCCTATTTAGTCTTCATTTAACTATTTTCGATTACAAACGTGTAGTGTAGCTATCTGCTAATCACTCATTGCGCTCTTCGGTCGTGGCTCGGCTTTACTGGTAAATATGAGTTATCTTTGTCAACCAATAAGCAGTGTATTACTTCTGCGACACAATGTTGCTTGTTAAAGCAGTTTTGTAAGAATATTCTGTTTGTCCTAACATAAAATTCGTACTTGATATCTACCGTATGTAATTTATCATGTAACGGAGGCGCCCCGTTGGACTTTACTATGCAATGTGCGATGTGGCGATGCTCTGTAGCACTAGTAATGCGCTATGTGGCAATAAATATCGCATAAGTAAAAGAATGCAGAATGCTTTGACTAGTGGTAGGAGTTTGCATGTCATGGACCAAAGATACATTCACTTTGCAGTTTTGTCTTGTATTAACATAAATTGAATGGGTTAACAGCCTTACAATTCAAGAAAAACACCCCATGCTCTCATGTCTGCGAAGAAGGCTGAAGTCACCCTCGCGACCGAATATTACTTTCACTGGAAATTCGTCATGCGAATGACGTTGGCAAAGATTGGACTGCTAAACCGAATCCTGGGAGCTGGTAGACATGAATGCACTAGCACTGATTGCTCAAGGCATTGTGCCGAAGCATCATGTCGAGATTTGTTCGGCAACGACGGCAATCCAGGCACAAACATTGCTGCGTGATAGCTACAATCGCACGACCAAGCACAATCAAGTGATGATTACCTTTCGCCTTCATAATTCTACGATGGATGAAGGCTTGACGGTGACCGAGAGTCTGGAAAATCTCGATGAATTCATCGTTGGTCTTTTGTCTCTGGTTCAGCCGGTTGAAGAGAAGTGGAGCTCGTGATTTTGCTCAGCAGTCTGCATGTAGGGAACGAGGGTATCACGTCGATCGTGGAGAACGTCCTTGACGTTCTCCACGATGATTGAGGTGGAGGAGATGCTCAAGGAGTACAAGCAAGATTAAGGAAGTGTCCATTAAAGGCGCGCTGAAGGATACTATGAATGGGGCAAGTCGAATAATTCAAGATTCGACGAGGGCGGCAGGAACAACGGACGCATGTACAACGTCCCGAAAAAGATAAGCGAGTTCTAAAGCATATGCTTCAAGTGTGACAAGGTTGGGCACGTGAAGCGGAACTTACCGGACATGCTGTGACCAGGCAAGGATGACGTGGAAGTGAAATCAGCCGCTGGGGAGAGTCGGATATCTTGGTGGCTGATGGAAAGTGGCGAAATAGCAGACATGAGGCTTTATCAAGAAGACTTGTTCGACAACAAGGACGCGGTGACAAGAACTGATGTGACCAATTCGGACGGCAGGAATATCTGTTATGAAGGAGCTGTTTGGGGCGCTTAAAGGGCAATAAAGGCAAGCGCATTTGGATGTTGGAAGTTGGAAGTCCTCCTCATCTCAGGTCTTGATTGAATGCGAATGTCAGTCGACAAGCTAGCAGAATGCGGGCTCACCGTTGAGTTTGAGTCGACATCGTGTGTCATTTGGAACAAGAACCAAGCAATTTTCTCGGGTAAGAAGATTGGCAAGTTTTGCATGCTGTAATAATTATTGGAAACGGCGCAATTCTTGGCGTATTCGGACGTCAACAGCGGGTGGGAGCTTTGGCACACTCGCATGGGCCATTTAATCAAAGCCACGCTGGCAAAGACCTTGTGTGTGGTGACTACCAGTTCAACTACCAATTTGACAACGAAAGCGCTATGCAGTGGATTCTTCTAAAGCAAGAAAACGGTATAACAGATCCCATCGCGTTTGCAGAAGATGACCTCTCGTGTGCTGGAATTCGTGCACACGGACGCAAGAAGGCCAATAAAGACGATAATGAAAAGGTTGCACATAGCATTTCTCACTTTCGCTGACGACTACTCGATGTATGTTGTCACATAGTTCCTCAAGAAAAAAAATGAGAAGTGCTTCGAAGGTTTGATTCGTTTAAGGCCATGTCCGGAAAATTATCGTGGAGAGTGCAAAAAGTGTCTACGCTTTAAAAACGGCACCGATGGTACATACAAAGTCCTGGACGGAATCGTGTAGCGTAACGGTATTGGTCACCAAAATACTGTGCCATACGGCCCTCAACGAATTAAGTGGCTGAGTGGATGCTTAAAACGGTATTGTAGAAGGCACGAAGCATGATGCTCTACAAGTTCTCTTCTACTTCTGGTGGTCGGAGGTCATTATCACGGCAGTGTGCTTGGTCAACCGGACAAGAAACAGCACGCACAATGAAGCGTCTCCTTACGAGATAGAATTCAAAGTGAAGCCTCAGCTGGACCACTTACGGGTTTTTAGATTCACGGGTTAAGTTTATGTAGAAGAAGCTAAACGCATCAAGCTGGATTTGAAGAGCCACAAGTGTATGATCCTTGGCGATAAAAATAATATGAAAGGTTATCGCGTGTATGATCCGGAGCTGGAAAAGGTCAAGATGCCAAATTCAGTGAAGCTTGACAAACGCGAGGTGGAAGGAATTTACAAAATGTCAATGACGAACAACTGAAGTCATTAGCGAGATCAAGGGTATCGACGAAGTGGCTTAGCCAAAACCTGAGAAGATACTGCCTGTGGAAGATTAACCGATAGAGTCAACAGTGGACCAATTGGACGACGTCAAAGAATTAAGAAGATACACATGATCATGATTCTATAGGAAGAGAATTGACGAAGTATCATCGAGTACATGAATCGACAGCGAATGACAACATGCTGTGCAGGCCCGAGAGGCAACGATATCGACGTCCAAGAGAGCCAGTTCTCCTTCTCGGTGATTAATCTACCATGACTGACGAGAATAAGTTGATTCGATGACGATCTTGACAATAATAATCGCTTCTAACCGGACTCTTTTAAGCTACCTTTTGCTGATAAAAAGTCTATTTGCAGAAGATGTGCTATCCAACGCGGCAACTGTTGGCGATGCAGATGATGCATAATCGACATATCAACAAGCCATGAACAGCGAGGACGCCGATAAATTGGTAAAGGCTATGAGCAATGAGCTCAAAGCTCATTCGAAATAAATTCATGGTAGCTGGTCCCGACGATGAACTAATTTCGAACAATTTACTGTAGATGGGTATTCTCTATAAAGCGTTGTGAGCACATTATGAAGTGAGGTGAAAGGCTCTTATTTTCTCAAAAGAATTACATCAGAAATTCAGTTTCAACTTTTTAACGACGTACTCGCCCATGGCGAACATTTACTTGATCAGGGTCGTTCTGGTTGTGGTAGAGGCGAAGGATTCATGACCAAGCATCTGGACGCAGACACGGTATTTTTGAACGGTAATCTCAAGGAAGTAGTATTCATAAACAAGTGCCCTATGGTCTTTTAAACGCCAATAAGATGATGTGTGAGCTGGATAAGGCAGTCTACGGTCTCAAGCAAGCTGCAATTGCATGGATTTAGATGATTCATGCAGTATTCCTGCAGATTGGATTTTTAAGCAGTGTAGCAAGATAGTGTGCCAACGTCAAGAGCAACAATGAAGAATACGTCTATGTGTGCATCTACGTCGACGACATTATCATCGCCCCTATAACTAGGAACGAGATCCAAAGTTCAAAACAGCACTTACATATTTGCTTAAGATTAAAGAGCTGAGCGAGGTCACATCTATTCTCGGCATGAAGATCGATCATGATCGCACCGTCAGTACACTTACAATTCGACAGAGTCGCTGTATTGATGAAGTGGTCAGTCGCTTCAATCTAGAAAAAGCCAAAGCAGTATTCAACCCATACAATTCAGGATTAAAGCTATTTTTAGCGACACTCCCTTGTGTTAACTGAACACATGGCAGCGTGCTCCCGACGTCACGTACACTTGGCGTGAAAAAGCGCAACGAAGTAAACGGAACTAAAGGGCTTTGTTTGAGAAATTGATGTACTTTATTTATCATAGTTATGTTTCTTTTGTAAATCTTAGTTATCTTATTATTACCATATCAAACATAAACCTCCAATATCGGTTTTTTTCTCATCACCCATTGCGCGCGTCTAGCTGCGATTGGTAAATAATTTTGTTGAAGTGGTATCTACTCCAACCAAAAGTGAAGCGCTACCGAATATCACGTCTGAAATTATTACTCTGCCAACATCACCTCTTCTCAGTTATGGTGATATCACCTTAACTGAGAAGATATGATATGGCAGAATAGGTGAATCACAAATAAAGATAGGGAATTGCTAAATTCACACCCCCATTTCTTGGATTCACACCCTTCCTTCAAATCTTATATATGCAAGGTACGCCTTCACCGTTGGACAAAGACGAGTGCTTTCTCTGCCACTTGGCTACGAACGACATCTGCTGCAGCTGCTGGCACCGACATAGTCAAAAAGCTTAAAGCCACGATGGAGTCGGGCGCACTTGTGACCGACAAGATTGTCGTCAGTAATATTAAGGACGCCATCAAGAGTTCGGAATGCCGTTGTGGCTTTATTCTTGACGACTTTCCACGAACGGTCGTGTAGGCCGAAAAGGTGAGAACAAGAGGAGATTCAGATGAGTGTCCAGGTTGCAACGCAGCGGCTGACTATAGTTCTCTCTTTTTGTATGTGGTGCTGTGCAGCCTGGCGTTGGCGCTCTTTTCCAACCTTTGGTACGTTTACGGCACTTTGATCAAATTTAAGGTAGACACGCTTTTCTGCAAACGAACTATCAATCGTAACAGCATAGCCTTGGCCACGTGCGAACGTCTGCACAGTATCCATAAGTTGCTCCCGACTAGCATACTCAACCTCGGGAGGAGGAAGCATGTTATTGCGTGGTGCCCTATCAGTAAACGCTGGAGTAGCTAGACCATAGGCGTGAGTAATATCTTAGGAGTTTCTTACGTATTACTTGCCAATCAATGGCCTAGATTATCGAGTACTACATTTTTCCAAAAAACAAATCTTAAAATGAATAGGGAATTTATATAAGATTTTGACGGAAGGGTGTGAAATTAAAAAAAGGGGTGTAAATTTACCAATCCTTTAACGATAATTTACAAAATTCAGTAAATTTGTATCTATTTTATGAAACAGAAGCACCCGTCTAAATATCAAAGATGAAACCACCAGCGACTGACGCAGAGCGAGAAAAAATGAATCCAAGGTCGTACAGGCTGTTGATCGGATGTTTACAATATATCACCACATGTGCGCGCCATAGTATGGTATACGTCATCACACAGTTGTCAGCTACACAGGAATGCCGTAATGTGTGTACTCTGCTACCTAAAACCGACGAAGCACTACAGAATCCCTTGCGATGGTAGCGCCAGCGAAGTACAAACTACAGATTACACGGACGCGGACGAGGAAAGCAACATTGACGATTGACGCTCGGTGTTAAGATAAATGGTGATGATGGGTGGTGCGCCCGTTGTGTACAAGTCCAAGCATCAAATGTCATGGTAGTTCTATGCTTGGCAGAGGAGCGTACACGCCTTTAAGCTTTTGTACCCAAGGAGTGCCTTGGATCAGGGATCTTGGCCATGAGCAAGTGCTAGCGACGTGGATATGGAACGATAATCAAGGTACGATTGGACTTTTGAATAGCACAGAATACAATGCCAGGACCAAGCAAGTCAACATCCATCACCACATCATCCGAGCGCATGTGACACTCAACACCATCACAGTCAAGTATAAGTCGACGGTAAATCAACTATTAGACATGCTTACCAAGGCTTTAAGAATTTAGAGACTCAAGCACCTGCTTCAGGCAAGAGGCATCGAACCGAAATTATCCAGTAATTTGCGGTGAGTAGTAGTTCTGGTATAACACCGGCGATTACTACATGCTCCATCCAACTAGTATTGCGCGATGCGGTGATTACTACATGCTCTATGCCACTAAAAAGCGATGTCGCGATAATTGATGCTTAGCTAGAAGTAGGAAGAAGGCTTGGACTAACAATAGAAATTTGCTAACTGATGACCAAAAAATATTCACTTCACAATTGCCTTTTTCTTCCAACATCCTTTAACACACTGATTAATCAATGAGTCTATTGGCATCTATTCACACTTCGAAACGACATTAATGCGCTGATGCGTGTTCGCATTGAGTCGTGGTTGCTGACATGTCGAAGCGGGATGGCTTATCTTGTTATGAAGGGCGTATGAGGCTATTTAATGAGCATGAAACGCTTAGTGCAATCGCCTTCTAAATTTTGTATTGACTCCGAAGCACCCCATTGTAAGTGGTGGAGGTATAATATGTAAACGTAGATATAAATCGTGTTGAACCTTTCTCCTTATGTACCCTTGATCAGACGAAAAATTTACTTATAACGCATCTTCTTAATGATGGCGATGAGTATCATTTACACCTCCTAGAAGCCATTTGCATGAAGCATTGAGAGGATCTGGCTTGTAAAAAATCCTCTAATAGATTAGCATGGACAAAGTTACTTTTTCAGACATGACGATCGGTGGCGTAACTCAAGTATAGTCTCGGCCATTTTAATCTAATAGATTTAGGTGGGGACGTATCAGGAGCATCGTCCCCATACTCGTCACTTAAGATGCAAGTGCTTCACGGAGACATAAGTAAGATTTGAAAAAGGACAGACAAAATCTTGCCGCACCCGTGCGTCGAATACAAAGTGATTGCGTAATGTGCTAGCCACCGGGACCCTAAATCCATGTTCTCAGCAAAAATGCTCTATAGAAACGAGCAATAGCCTCCTGGTCGGATTTAGCTCAACGGCGTTTACAGGGTTGGGTAAAGGAATAGGGATGTTGACCTGACAAAGGAGCGTAACAAAAGTACCACAGCTTTGACAACCGTTTAATGAAATAAACAGATTTTACGATTTATGACAAAAAAGTCATCACGTATTTGTACAGACGTTTGACTTGCCTGTAATGTGGATTAGAATAATTAAATACGGGTCAGACCATTTCTAAGAGAGACAGCCGTTTAACAGCACCGATTGAAGCACATGTCTATTTAATAGAGCAGATAAAGATAGCACATAGCCACATTCGGGATCGGTCGGACCTACAGCAGCATATGTTCCGCCAAGAATTACGATCGTGCACAAGCGCCAATGTTATAGCAGCACAAATTGTAAGGTTTAAAGTTAGATTTTAAAATAAAAGATAAGGGATCAAGATCTGGAGCTAGCCTGATATTATAGATAGTGCGGTTCATAGAACTGAATCGAGATGCAAAATATCTTACAAAAGCAGTCATCGCTGAAGAAAGGATTGTGATGCTATTAATTTCTAATTCATTATAGAAGTACATTCAAGCAACGCGATCAGAATTTTCTTATGAGCGTCCAGCATTTGTTTATGTGTTCATTCTAACATTCGTTCAATTTCAAGCCAATCACGTGTGTACGTCACGATAATTCCCAGCCGAAGAGTGACTTTGAATATGTGCCTATATACTAATGAGAATGGGACAGGTTGATCGCAATTAGTTTGGATATGCACCTTATCGCGTTATATACAGACACACACACATATAAGTACAATTTAAAAAGGTCGGCATTTATCTTGCGCACTGTCACGAATAGCTTTACCCTTCGGATTCGCAATTGTTGGCACACGCCGTTGTCAAGTTGTAGCAACTGAATTTGCTCTATTCTTATCACTGTGCATCTTATCTGCCCGTCCTGATCAATATCGATCAGTACATCTGTTTGTACAACAATTCTTCTTTTGTCCTATGTAAATTTACATATGCTTGGCACTACGATTATCATGCAACAAACACGCTACTTCTGCTATTGTGAGTAAAATAGCGCCAATACCAAAATAGACCTTTAACTTTTTTTCGATCCTCTGAAGCGAATTGGTGCAAGACTGGAGCGCCAGTAAAGGGTTTATATTGCATCAGAAATTTGACGCTTCGCGATTTAGAAAATAACTTTGTTGCCTTCGACTTTAGAGCAAAAGCGACATCTAGCACGTTTGTCGCCTGCACTCTTCGATTGCTGCGTTACGACAAAAATCTTTTAATGCTAGAAATGAATAAAGGAGAGAAATAAAACGTGGCTACTGGTATGTATTTGGTAACGCCTTTTATTGTGACCAACATGACCCCTGGTTCCATCAAGTTGTACTCGTATGTATGGCTAAACGTGTGGCACTTCAGCTATTTCAAACTACATCCAGACGTAAAGTGTATCACTGAATGCACATCGGTCACATAAGTGAAACGCAAGGACTCGTTACCTGATGTAGTGCTAGGTCGATTATATACATGCACTCATAAATCAGCAGAGAATCCATTTTAAGCACATTTTCAATTATTAATGTGATCAAGTCAAGTGCATCCGATTGCTTTTCGTATCCGACATTATGTCGACTTCAGCCGTCACAGAGACTTCACCATCATTATGAGCGTTTAAAGCCTGACCGATCGGATGCTTTCGACACTAAGTGATGCATCGTATACATTTAGGAAAAAAAACATCCGTATACATCTTCAGAATGATCAAAGTACGATGAGTGTCAGCGAGCTAAAATTAAAGTTTAAGTCACTAATGTACATGTGCGGCTTTTATTATCACCAGTGATTAAAGAAGATATGTAGCTCGTAGTTTTAAGTTAACGGCAGACACCGAAGTGATAAATCGGTTGAGGTCCTTATTTATGCCAAATATGTTACATCTAATCCTCATACCGATAATATGTTCCTCTTGGATAAGAAACAGTGTCGTTGCTAGTTTCCATCACGATCCTGAAATCATCGGGTGATTCGTTTTATAAATGACACCTGCACCGCATATACGCTTATTGTATGTTCCTGAAAAAGGAAGTCACACCTAATTGACACTATTCGACATGAACATATCGATAAAGAAATAGATACGGTATACCTTGTCAGCACATAGCACCAATTTTTGTATTTGGTGGCAGTTCACGCTGCGTTAAATACCGACACTATCCTCACAAATATATCTATTCTCTAATTATAAATATTACACTTTTCATAAGTATAATAAACTGGGCCGTATTTTGACAAAATAAGCATAAAAATTCACTAATACAGAGCAGATGATTAGACGCAAGCTTTCATAAACAGGGTAAAACATCGAATTACGCTAGGGTAAGTTTGGGTAAACTCCCTTGCTGTGATATTGACTCTTTTACAGTCATCATGGTTCTATCATGAAAGCGGTTTCTCTTTACGACAAGACAATCCAGGTCATAATGAAATATACACCCACATTGTATTCATAACTCCATAACTAATTCGAGTTAGACACTGTCGTTAGATGTGATATGCGCAAAGCCATAATGTACCCCTCTGCAGCATTAAAATTATGATGATACGAATCGATCTCATAGCCCACATACATAAAACCGCGCTTTTGTGCTCGGCAAAAAAGTGTACGGCCAAAAACGCATTCAAAATTCAAGTATAACTGTCAACGGTTTTCTGCATTCCCATGTTGCGATACAAATTTAAAATGTTAATCCGACTAGTAGTGTGTCTTGTTTCTTTGTATTATGAGGACATCGATGCAACAATGCGACATGGAGTCGATCAAGGTCATCAATATATCTTGCAGTATGTTCTCCCACGCTTTGATGACTGACGAGGTTGGAGCCGATACAGAATCGTCATGTTTCCCGTTTTATTATACCTCTCTGAACAATATTCCACACGTTTTCGATCAGATTAAAATCCGCAAAACGAGCAAGCCAGTCCATCACATTCATGCCTTGCTCAGCGAAGAAGTAAGCCGACATTGAAGAAGAATGGATGGCTGCGTTGTCCTGCAAAATAGAAACTCTGAACCTTGTTACGATGAGCAAAGGCAGCAAATACTCGGATGTCGTGTTGATGCAATCCACAGACTTTTGGTTTCCGAAATTTAGCCACCTCAGTCTTTCCGACTCCGTAAGCTTACCATAAACCATAACGGACCCTCCACCCGCTTCACGACGATTCGCCTGCCTGATAGAGACACGCATGTCTCTTTAACAGTTCTGTAGTCCGCCTGGTCCATCGAAGCTCTATTCCTTTATGCCATAAAAAAGATCGATATCCATGCACTAAAAAGCATTCGCATCTCCTCCAACTATACAAGACGACGCACTCAATGCATATCCGAAAGATGAAGCGTATTCTCCTTTTTGTGTATCTACACATTAGAGGATGCGGCGCACAGTGCGAACCGAGCACTTCAGCTCAAGCTGATGATGCAGCTGTGTTGCTGAGAAAACTTTTGCTTGCTACCGTGCGAGCTAGTAAACAAAGAGCATAATCGGACAAGTTTTGTGGTCTGCTAGTGCTAATGCGGCTGACGTGACCGCTCACAACACGCATCACTGCGTCACTTGACCGATTGACAGCATGTGCGATGGCGCGCCCTTTTAGGCTTGCTTCATGCAAGCTTTAGCTCACTTCACGCTCAAGGTTTGTCAGTGCTTCTTCCTATCCCATCGCTTCAGGAATGCAGAAGATCATTAACGTTTTGACTTGAATGTTGCATGCTATTTCGGCCGTATACTTTTTCCCGGGCACGTTTTTTCGATGTGAGTTATGAGATCGATATATATTACGTAATTTTAACGTCGCAGAGGTATGTTTAAGTTTGGCGCATATTATTCATAAACGACAGCACCCATATGGGTGTCCGGGTCATAATGACCTGGAGTGCAATACATGTCGCTATTATACGCGTCGGTAAAAATCGTCTCGTGGATAGGATTGAAATAGTCATCGACTTGGACCCATCTGTCCATTAACATTTGGCAGACGATTAAAGCACCGTCAAATATGATTTGCATTCAAATTTTAAGCCACAAATGAAGATGTGGATTTGCTGTGGTAAATTAGACACGATTCTCTTCCAATGGCTACACTTGTGACAAAGCGCACAAATCTACCCCACCGAACATCGTAATTCCGTCGAAATACGCCAGACTACTTTCTCATACCGAATCTAAGATAAACCAAATGTTCCTTTCACCTCTCCTTTTGTGTCATCGAAAAGCGAAAGAGAAGAGCAAAATATAGTCAGCGCCAAGTCGGAGATTTGTGCCACTCACTCAACATCATGTTCCTCCGGTCGCTCTATGGCTCGCGCATGCCCCAAGCGCTCCACGTACGCGCCTGTAGTCTGTCGCTTGTCCAGGTCCATGCCTGTAGTGTACCTTGCCATCTAACTGCTCGTTCTTCTATTGCTCGCTAGCCTCGTGTCGATCCCCAAGCTTCCAGTTACTGGGAGGAAGACACGGTCAGTTCGCAGGCGATTGCGCGTGCTATGGAAGAAGAAGCCGATGAAGTCAGTGCTGGTGCTGATACTGAAGGCAAGAAGCAGAAGATTGGGGCTGTGGCTCTGGTCGGGGACACGCACGACAGTCGTCGCTATTCCGTTCGTGGCCTTCCGTCCCAATTGACAGCTCTGTTGGGACGGGACGGCATGGCGCTGGAAGACGTGGTGGGTTTGCGGGTTGAAGACATGGGCTCGTCGCCTGTGAACTCGAACCTGTCGCCTGCTGGACTTATCTCCATTGCGGCTGCTGACATTGATGAGGCGGCCACGAACAGCTCGCAGCATGTGCCGCCAGTCAATGGCGAGCTAGACTTGGCATTCATCCGCTCGCTGCGTCAGTCTTCTGGTGGCGAAGCGGGTGCTGGACCGACATCGCGTAACGTGCTACAGTAAGTTTTTGTGGGGCAGGTTCGATGGCGTTTAATCACTGACTAGGACTTATGTGATGGTGGCGGTGTTCATGGTGATGGTAACTTGTAGTGTGGCCAACACGGCACTGACGCAATTGCTCGGATCGGCCCCCGCTTCTTGTGGATTGCTGTGTCACGAATCAGGAGAAGCTCCTGAAAATGAGAGCAAGCTTTTTTCGCTCGTTCGCCGTCATTTTAACATGCTGAAAGCTTCATCGTCGTTGTTGGCCCGCGCGTGTGAGACCAACCATGATGACGCCACTGAGGGGCAGGGCAAGCTGCGCTTTCTGTCGTTGCTCCGTCGCATCAATGAACTCCGCTCCCAGCAAGTTGATGTACGTTATTCATTCTCTTGTTGAGTGTCGTTGTGTGCTGCTTCTTGTTGACTTTTCTGTTGGTGGTGCTTTATTGATGCAGACTGAGAGCTGGGATGGTCTTCCGTACCCACAGATCATTACTCTGCCAACGTTTAAGTACCGTCCGCGTGAGCAACTTGCTGACGGTAATCAATCGGGAGACGATGGCGAAGTCAGTAACACGGTGTGTGCGGTGTGCTGTGATGGGTTTGAGGCGGGGGAGGAAGTGCGTGCTCTTCCGTGTCTGCACTTTTACCACCGCGAGTGCATTGACCAGTGGCTTATGTGCCACCGTCAGTGCCCGATTTGCAAGCATGTTGTTTCCGTTTATTAGGCATTTTATTTTCAAGTCAAAACACTGGACACGGTGTTCGTATCGTGAGCTTTCACCTCATATGTGGCGTTGCGCTTGGTATGTAAACATGCGCATGCAAGTACTCTTTCAGTCCCTTTCAGCTCACTCGTTCGAGCGACGACGAATGCAAACTCGTTTTTCGAGCCAACGCGAAATCGATGTCCTGCCTTAGTGATCCAAGATACGCAAGTTGCCGGTCACCACCTTGTTTTCTAGCACCGTTCCTTCGGGGAGGTCAATATGAGCACCCTCGTTTGCGACAAGAATCACCGTTCCCTGTTACGAACACACAAGAACAAGCTTCGTGAGCGGTACCTACTACCAAGCCTCTCAGAGCTCAACCAATTCTTACCTTGAGTTTGATGTTAGAGCCGAACTTGACGTCACCGGCGACCGTGAGGTGGTCTAGCTCCGTGATGTCAGGAATGCCATGATCGAAGCGTGCTAGATACTCCTTTACGCTCTGAAACTCAAGTCCAAGCTTCACGATCGGGATGGACGGTGTGATTCGTGCCGGATTCATAATTAGACTACCGTGTTTGATCTGATACAGATTCGACTGAACCAGGAAGAGATCCGACGAGGATTTCACGGGCAAGAAACGCGAGCGTGACACCTTCAGCCCAATAAAGTTCTTGAAGAGGTGGATCGCCTCACCTGCCGCAGTTTCCAACTGTACAACCTTGTGGCACTTCACAGTACGGAAGGTAACAAGCGGCTCAATGTCAATGAGATCTTGTGCGACGAGCCTTTGGATCGCGCGCAAATTCACCCAGAGATTGTTCGTATTGAACGTCTCAAACTTGTTGATTGCGCGGAAATCATCCATGTGTTCCGGTGGCACCTGACTTGCCTCCAGGAGATGAGGCTTGTCCTTATAGCTTACTAGGGTCCCTCCTTGAACGTCGGCACGGGTCTTCTCAGTCACTTCCATGACAAACTCGGAGTCTTCGTTGATCATGTAATAGAGCATATCCAGGTTGACAGTGGCGCCAAGGTTGTCGACGTTCGAAATGAAGATATACTCCTTGCCTTGATTGATCAGATTCTCCAATAGCCCAGACTCAAACAGCGCGTTGTAGACATCACCATGACCTGGTGGAAACCACCTGTCTCGCGTCGAGCGGTCATACTTCGTATTAGGTAGCGGCAACATTGTCTCTTTGACGATGAGAGGATAGCAGCTCTGATTAAACGTGTGAATGCTCAGGTTGTGCATACGGTACTTCCGAATGATGCGCACCGTCTCCTCATGCGTGTTGAACGAATTCATAAGCACAAGCGGTACATCGACGCCATACACGCTGTTCAAGTACTGCAATTCCACCCATCAGCGTGATCCATAAATCTCGTTATTGCCCCATCTCGCTCAATACATAGCGTACCTCCACTTGGCGCACAGTAAGGTCAAGAAACGACAAGTCCTGGCGCACTTCAATCGCGCTCTTGGGTCCCTCACATCCCAACGTCGTGCCTAGCCCGCCATTCAGCTTCAAAATGACCTGCACACACGACGGATTAACATCCGATGAGACCACATTTGATCCGATCGTGATGACTACAGCAGCCTACCAACTTGTCCAGCAGCTCGTGACGGAGGTTCCTGTCGTTCGGACAGCTCTCCACCGACGCAGTGTTGGTCAGCATACCGTTCGGTGGCGGCTTGACCGCGCTCCTATAGCCACGACATTCCCCACCAATTAAATCATCATCTCTCTCTCCTTCCGTCTTGTGCACAAACTGCCCTATCGCACCAGTCAATCGCCGTCTTCTTCACCTTGGAATACTTGCGGAAGAGCTTGAGAAAGTGCTTCCGCTGACGGATCCCCATGAGCTCCTGCGACGCCAGTGCCTATAGAGGAACAGTACACAAAGATCAAGGGTCGATATCGCTCTGTTTAGTTGTAGGTTTAGTATGCACCACGACTGTGGCGCTTCCTCGTCGCTCCTGCTTCTGTATCGCACCTCTGCCATTTGGTCGTCAACAGAAAAACGCGTCGGCACGTGCGTCTTGTAGTGCATGGCTACAGCCTCGTCACAGAAGCGGTCGACGCGACACTTGGACTTGTGAGGCGATGGGGTTTGAACCCACTGCGCTGGTCAAAAGGTGATGTGGGTACACTTCCTGTTTGACGAGTTGGGTCCCGGCGAAGTAACGCCAAAAACAAAGTACCACCAGCCACACTCGAGCGCAAAATGGCGACTCTGCTACTACTTCACACGAAAGTCGATCTTGATATCCGCTGCTGAAATGGGTACACGGGGACGAGTCCCCGCCTCGTGGTCGTCTGAGCCCCGCTCGGACTCGGAGAGGACGCGACCGTTGCTGACGCAGTCTGTTGGATCGTCCGTGGACTCGACGTCCAGCTCCAGGCGCGTCCGCGTCAACCGCTGGCAAAGTCTCAACGCGCCGCAGTCGTACGAGACCATCTACAACACGCGTACGTTCGGTCTCTTTAACCTGCTCTGTCCGATTGCTTTCGTGCGCTTTCTGAAATGTTTTATGTCATTGCATAGTGTCAAACTACGCTCCAGCCAGTGTCGTAGCCGTCGGCGGCCTCTCGCTGCTTCTGGGCGTATTCGTGCTGATCCACACGCAGCATCTCGTGGTCACGGCCGATTTCCCCCGCAGCTCCCTGAGCGTGACTAACAGTGTCGCTCAATTTATTGAGCACCAAGTTCATGCCGATGCTCGCAACTGTACGGAGCTGTGGATCACACAGCGTGTTGACCACTTTTCGTGGCTCGCGGCCGAAGTAGGAGATGTGACGGATGTTAATGCTCCGCCCAGCGGTTTGGCTGCAACTTATAAGCAGAGATACCTGCTGAATACTCAGTTTTGGGATCCAGAAGACGAGAAGGCGCCTGTGTTCTTTTACACGGGAAATGAAGGGGACGTGACACTGTACGCGAATCACACGGGCCTGATGTGGGAAAACGCACAGACTTTCAAGGCCCTCGTCGTGTTTGCTGAACACCGTTATTACGGCAAAAGTCTTCCTTTCGGGGACGATTACATGAAACACCTGGCGTACCTCACTCACGATCAGGCACTCGCGGACTATGCGGAACTGATTTATCATTTGCAGAAGGAATTTGACGCTTTCAACCACCCTGTCATTGCATTCGGAGGGAGCTATGGAGGCATGTTAGCAGCATGGTTCCGTATGACATATCCCAGCATCGTTGCTGGTTCCATCGCAGCCTCTGCTCCCATCTACGGCTTTGGTGGCTATCCTACCTTCGACGGCCAAAAATACTGGCAAGTAGTAACACGGGATGCATCTCCTGACGCAGGGTCAGCGAAAAACTGTGTACCCAACGTCCAGAAGTCATGGCCACAACTTTTTGAGCTTGCCAAGACTGAAAAGGGACGCGCGACTCTGACTTCATTGTTCGGCCTGTGTCAACCACTATCACGCGAGGAGCAGGGCATCGATCTAGCGATGTCGGTGTTGTTTGCTTTTGACACTTTGGCCATGGGGAATTTTCCGTATCCGTCCAGCTACCTCACGGGAGGTGCTGTCGACCTCCCGGCTTGGCCTGTTCGTGAAGCTTGCTCGCATCTGGCTGGTGACTTTTCTTCTACGACATCGTTTCGACAAGAAAGCGTGACAAATACGACACTATTAGTGGCTCTTCGCGACGCTGCCAATGTGTTTTTTAACGCCACGAAAAATTTGACGTGTTTTACGATTCCTTCTCTATGGAACTACGACGGTATTTGGGACTACCAGTTCTGCACCGAGATGCTGCCACAGGAGACATACTTCAGCACGAACGGCAGAACGGATATGTTCTGGTCGCACAATATCACGTTCGAGGAGATTCGTGCACACTGTCAGCGTGACTGGCACACGACACCTGATCCCGATCGCATCCGTGTACGCTACGGCGACTCGTTGCTACGATCAGCGTCCAACATCGTGTTTAGCAATGGTCAGTTGGACCCGTGGAGTAGCGCCGGTGTGCTGCGCGCCCCTAAGGACGCAAAGGTGACGATCGTGGATATCGCGGAGGGAGCCCACCACGTGGATTTGTTCTTCAGTCAACCAGAAGATCCTCCGTCCGTCATTGCGGCACGTAAGATTGAGGTCAAGATGATTCAACAGTGGATCGACGAGTTTGTCGCCTACGAGCAGGAGATGACATCGGGCTGAGGTTGAAGTAGATGTAGCCATGTATGTGGTTGTCTGTCGTAAGTACGATCGGGAGTTAACACCCTTGAGGGATTCATCCACTTGTCCGAGTGGTGGAAATGATGTGAGCTTTTTTTTATTTGCACCAATGATCGCGTAGATGCAATCATTACGATCCATTGATCCGTGTCACGACTGCCACGCGGTCTCAATTCGCAAAAAAGACTCGACCATGACGATCTCGAGCCGACTGCTGGGCGCGTGCTTGGCCGCGCTGATGTCCCTGTCGCTCGCTGCGGATGCTGTGGACATGAAGCTGGTGTCGTCGCGAGTGGCGCTGACGGAGGGGGCGCTGGAGGTGGCAGTCGTAGTGACGCCGAAGCAGCCGAAGCTGAAGCAGTTGACGCTCGAGACGCTCGTGGACACGTCCGGCGCCAAAGTACTGTCGGGACTGGTGCGTTGCATGTCAATGCAAACTCTAGTATATATTGTGGAATAGGACTGGGAGGAGGGGTGCACTGACAGTGGATCAACACGTTTGTAGACGCTCAAGGGAGACGGGAGCAAGTTCGTGACAAAGCTGGCAGGAGACGAGAAGCTGAAGGCGGGAATGTACAAGCTCCGTGTATCGGCCATGGACGTGGACACTAAGCAGAGCACGCACCAAGTGCTGCAGCTTAAGGTGACGACGTCCGTGGACGTGGCAAGCGCCAGTGTGAATGGCAAGAAGCTTCAGCTGGGAGACAAGCTGACGGATCAGAACTATAACGCAGCAGCTGGTAGCTCGCTCACGATGGAGGTGAAGCTGCAGCACACACATGACAAGAGCCCGATTGTGGCGCATCAGGCTTTCCTCCGCTTTACGCACGCTTTGACCGCGACAAACGCGTACTTCGTGCTGACGGCCGACTCGGCTCAGATCCATCGCGTGACGCTTCAGTTTGCCACGCTAAGCAAGAAGTTTGGCTACAACTCGGGCGCGTACCACGTAGAGCTCATTTTGGGCTCGTCTGCGTTCGAGAAGGCGATCGTGTGGGATCTGGGCAACGTAGAGCTGCAGCTCGGTGCCGCTCCTCCTGAGACGCCCTCTCCGCTTTACAAAAAGCATCTGCTGTACGAGAGTGACACGACACTGAAGGCGCTGCCTGAGATTCAGCACGTCATGCGTCAAGAGGATCCCCGGCCGCCCATGGCGGTGTCCCTGCTCTTCACGGGTGCTGTGCTAGTTCCTCTGGTATCTTTCTTGCTGTTTGTGTCGCGTCTTGGGCTCAATATTGAGCGTTTGTTCGAAAGCTCTGTCGTCGCCTATGGCTGTGTGTTCCTGGCGTCGTTGGGCTGCATCTTGGCGCTTTTCGGCTGCTACTGGTTCAAGTTGACCATGTTCCGGACTTTGGGCGTCCTGAGTGTGCTGGGCTTTGTGAACTTTTGGTCTGGTCACTTGACGCTCAAGCGCCTTGCTGAGAAACGTGTCAGGAAGTCTACCAAGGTGGACTAGAGTGAGCGGCGATGGGTACACAAGCGTCACAGCTGCCTCTGGCCTTTGGGCTTTGGCTGCAAAGATGCGGTAGTGGAGTAAGTACGCGGAACACGAACACATTGCAATGAGTTGGTGTGCGCTACAGTGCTTCGACACAAGTGTAATTATTGTGAGGACTTGCGATCAGGTGGGATAAACTATTCCTATGTGACTTGCATTTCTTCATCGCACATTGTCACAGGTAAATGACTCAGCTTCATACGAAGCTTGATCACGAGTCCGAAGGGTGAAGCTATTGGTGAGTGTGCGCAAGGTTGAATGCCGAGCTTTTGAATCGTACTATCAGTGTGTGTCCGTCTGTCTGTGTGTCTGTCCGTAAATAACGCGGTTAGGTGTATCTGACTCGTGCTAAATACGACCTTGCATGTCGTCCCTCATAGGTCGATTAGTATGATAGGTGTCACTCTGTGGCTAGGTCAATATTGTGATGCACACACCTGATTGGCTTAATATCGACTAAAGATGAATGAAATCACACAAGCACATGCTGAACGCTCGTAAGCAAAGGCCAATCGCGTTGTCCGAGTATACTGTACTGGGTTAACACAGACATTAACGTCATCATGCTCATTCTTCAGTGACTGCTGCTGTGCAGTTTTGTGCAACACAATTCAGTTTCCGAACTGAATTACTCGTATCAAAGGGCGAGCTATAGAGCGCACTCCCCTATCTTAAAATAGACATTCTTAATTTTTCTAACCTCGAGACCGACTAACTTCAACGTCGTCTGTAGTTTCGATATTCCTGTGAAAGTCGTTACCCTGTCCCTTTCGCTGGCTGAACCCACAGTCACCACCGTCACCGCCCGCGCTTATAACCAGTTAAGATCGTCGCAGACATCCTGTAGCAATTAATTAATTAATCGACCAAAGTGTAGCCGCACTCGCCGCCATTGTAAAGAACGACCGACCGACTGGATCGTCGTCCGCGGAAAGGCGCGCGCGTTCACTCTCGCAGTTTCACGCTCATGAGCAGCAGCAGCAGCAGGAGCTTCTCAGAGCAGCCGCTGGTTGCGCACGTGGACGTTCAGTCGAAGGAGACGGCGCTAGATCCTGGTATCGTGTTGTTTGACCCGAAGGATCTTGTGACTGACGCGGATTGGAAGCCAAAGACGTCAGTAAAGACCGGTAGCGACCATTACGACAACAAAAATGAGAAGGATGAGGTAGGAGATGAAGGTGAAGCTGAAGAGGAACAACGAGCTGCAGGAAATGAAGCAGATGAGGAAGAGGAAGAAGAAGCTACGGCAAAGGATGAGAAGGAGTGGACCGATAAAGCGGTTGTTGTGGATGCTGGAGCTGCAAAGCAGGCCCGAGTACGTGCTCATGTGGTCGAAGAGATTTGTGAGACGGAGAAGAGCTACGTGAGCGACATTCGTGCGCTCAATGACCACTACATTGTAGCGCTTGAGGAAAAGTCCCATCCGATCATGGAAGACGCACAGATTGCCGTGTTTTTCAACAACCTGCGACATCTTGTGATGCTAAATTCGAAGCTCTTGACGGATCTACAGGCGATTGGAGGTCGTCCGGTGGCTTTTACGTCTCTGAAACGACGAACCAAAGGAAAAAAACTAGCGGCTGCAAGAGAAAATGGTACGAAATGTTATGTAAGTCCCGTCTCAGCTGCCGTGGAATGCGAAGCTGAAGGCGTGGGAGCAGTCTTTTGTCGGTACGCACCGCTGTTTAAACTTTATGGAGGATACGCTAAGGATTATGAAGAAGTGGCTGCACTGTTGCAGAATTTCGGACGCGATGCCCGATTGGGATTTTCTAAGTTCTTAGAAACATGTCGCGCAAAAAGCGGTTCATTAAAGCCGTTTGATAGCTTGCTGATTATGCCGATCCAACGCATTCCACGATACAAACTACTCTTAGAGCGTCTCTACGAGTTCACACCACCAGAACATCCCGATGCTGCTTTTCTGAAGGAGGCGGTAAACCGAATACGCAGTGCGGCATCGCTTATTGATGAGATCGTGGGGCGCCAGGAAAATCTTGAGATCGTGCTGCAGGCCCAGCAAAAGTTCTCAGGTCAGCTGTCGTTGTTTACAGCTGATCGAAGACTGCTGAAGTCGGGAAAACTTACCAAGATGTCGACAAAGCGACAGGAAGAAGTCATGATACATCTCTTCAACGATATCCTCCTGTACAGTGGTATCTTAATCACTGGCGGCTACCGCGTTCGGCGAATCGTTTACTTGCATTCGAAAGCTGTCGGTGTCAAGACCGACCTACCTATATCGGTCCAAGCGCTATTGGATCAGCAGTCACGACGCCGCGCTGGTAAAGACTGCGGCTTCGTCGTTACTAGCCGGGAGAAAACGTTCATCTTGTTTGCAGAGAGCTCTGAATTGCAGCATGAGTGGGTTACAGCCATTTCGAGTGCTGCAATAGAAGCCCAGAAAGAAAAACAAGCTAGGATTGGTGAAGATAGAGACGGCGACGGCACAGATTTCGAGTCGTGCGAGGGACCTGCCGACGCAGCAGCTCTGTGGGTTCCAGATGATGTTGCAGGGTCATGCAATATTTGCCATGCGTCATTCCGCGCGTATTATCGAAGAAGGCATCATTGTCGCCGGTGTGGAACGGTAGTGTGTGACACCTGTTCCACGGGACGTGCACCGTTGTTTGTTGGTGAATCGTCGCGTGTGGAACGCGTGTGCAGTCCTTGTTTTAAAGTCCTTGACTTAGTGCGTCAAATTGCACTACAATGGTTATCGAGAGTCGTCGAGTTTCGCGGTGTGCTGCGCCGTCGACACTTAAACAAGTGGAGTGAACACTACTACGAGCTTCGAGCAGGGGTGCTCAAACAGTTTTTGCTAGAAACAGCATCGATTGGTTCTACACCAGCGGGCCAAAATGGTATTGCTGTAGGCTCTGAAATTAGAGAACGGGCAACTGGTGGAAGCTCGGCAAACTCCAGAACATTTCGGTGCTGCACTGACGAGCTTTCAGTTGCTGGTGCTATCGTGATCCATCGGTCCGACAGCCGGGCGCACAAGAACCGCTTTTGCTTCCAAATTTCGACGACTGAGTACGATGAGTCTCAATTGAGAATCAGAACAGATGGCAGTGACATGAAACAGTACAAAGCAAGCCCAAGCCGCTTAACTCGGGCGGCCAATAGGTCACTGAGCAAGGTGTCTCCGTTCCGACAAGCTGCCAATTGCTTCGGTGTACCTCGTCGACGAGACCATGCAGTCTTTTCCGAAAAACCAGATGCCTCCTGTGAAACTGCCGTAATGACAGTCTTGCCCTCCCCGGTACATCCTGCACCATCATCGTTGCCGAGTCCAACGGGTGCGACGATGCCTGAAAACGAGTGGATTTTATGCGCTTCAACCGTCCAGGAAGAGGTGGCATGGCGTGTTGCAATTCAGAGTTCAGCGGACAAGGCACTGCATCGCATGCGACGTTCTCGCATCACGGAATTTCCAGGTACACTCACTCAGAGCGGCATTCTAAGCTTGAGTATCAGTGTGCCTCGAAGTAGTGTGCGCGCTACAATGTCGGCGGTGTCAGCCTCTCGTTTCATAGGCTCAATTGAAAGGCGACGCTTGTCATCCCTTGATCATGGCCGTGGTACGGACGCCGAGATATCAACGGAATTTGCTCACTCTGCAGGAAAGGACAGCGATGCATGTTTGCTGGAGCGCCGCCGCCGCCAAATTTTGAAGGAGATCATTCGCTCCGAACAAAGCTACGTCCAATGTCTGAGCGAGTGTATTCATTTGTTCGTCCAGCCTTTGCTGCTGCGTCAACTCGAAGGCCGGCAAATGCATCGACGCCGCCAAAACAAGCGTAGAAGGTCCCTTCGACCCGTGCTTGGGGGACCTCTCAGTACTTCTGCTCGAGTAGCTGCACCAAAGCGGGACCATTATCGAGCAGCTAGCAATGGAAGCGTTGGGGCTAGATTTGCGCGAAGGGGCGCTAGCAGCAACAATTTGCGCACAGCGCTCAACGCATCGTACAGTGCAGCTTCAAATTCGGCGTCACCGACTTTGTCAGCGACTTCCACGCTCAAGATGCTAGTCATGGACGCTGATCTGTCCATCTTTTTCAGCAGTGTGGATCAAATCTACACGCTTAACCAGCAACTGCTCGATCATTTATCGCGTCACCTCGAGGAAACCAGCTCCACATCGGCACTACCATCGCGTGTGGGGAATGGTCCAGGCGAAGGTAAAGCAACTGATTTTTCCGGCGTTAGAGTGCACCGGACTGGAGCCATATTCCACGCCTATGCTCCCCTGATGCAGTTGTACACCTCGTATGCAAGTCGTCATAGCGCGGCACTGTCTGCATTGGAGTCGCCTCAATTTGCTGGATTTCTGCGAGAGCTGCCTCCCGAGGCTGACGTAAATCGCTTACGACGCTACCTGAACATGCCCGTGGAGCGGATCCCACGTTACAAAATGCTTCTCAAAGAGCTGCTAGAATTTACCCCACCCGAACACGTCGACTTTGTACCATTGCAGTCAGCGATCCGCAGTGTGGATCGCGTGGCGAACAAGATCGAGGAGATAAGCGAGATACGTGAGAACGCAGCCACTCTCGCGACTGTGGGTGCCAAGTTGGGGATGAATCTCTCCGGGCGACACTTTATTCGAGACGGGATGCTGCGTAAAGTGTGCCGCAGCAAGGTGCAAACGTACTACTTCGTGCTGCTGGAGGACGGTGAGTCATCCATTCTCATGTCGTTTTGGTGATTCACTCATTGGTTCAATCCGTTCTTCGTACGGTCAATTTAGCTATGGTGTATGGACGACAAGGAGGTATGCACAAGAGGAAGTTCCACTTGCTTGATCTTTGGGAGTGCAAGGTGGCGGATGACACAGGGACAATGCCGGGCGTCATAACAACAGTCGTGAACTCGAACAAGTAAGTAGTCTTACTTCATGGTCCGCAAAGCTGTTGATGCCAATATTCTCACTGTGATGACTCGCGTGCTCAATCTCTAGCGCCTTCTGTTTCTATTCTCCTCTCAAATCGTTCATCTTGCTGACCGAGTCAGAGGAAGACAAAATCAGATGGACGACCGACATTCGCAACTGCATCGATCGAAATCTCAGCGGCAAAACCCATCCACGGCGCACGAGTCTTCGCTCGGAGCTGTTAACGGACAATGATGGCGACTCCTCCAGCGGATACGAGTTGGAAGGAGGCTTTGCTATAAAAAATGGCTGGCTGAACGTTCTCGAGGGTGCTGCAGTGAGTAATTTTGGTCACGGCAGCACAGTGGCAAGCAGCACTAGTGGCAAGAAATCTCGACGGCTCTGGATCACGCTGACACTACAAGCTATCTCGTTGGGCTCCACTTTCAAGAGTGCGCAACCTGAGGAGACGATTCCCATCGAGATGTGCAAGGTGACCCCTATCAAGAGCGAAAAGTACTTTCGCCTCCAGCTTCTGACTGATGTCGTACGTCGTAGCTTCGATGGCGATCATCACGTATGTTGTTCACTCATGTACCGTCTATTTGTAACAGATGCGCACTCACAGTACGTACGTGTTTGAGGCACTGTCGTTAACGGAGAGAGACGAGTGGGTCCGAGCGTTGACACATTGCATATCGGGGGGAGACGAGCTGGCTCTACGTCGTCGCAGCCTCAAGACCGCGACATTGGCCCCGATTTTTATGTTCGACAAGGTCTCGAACGTCTGCACCATCTGTATGCATACCTTCGCAGTGTATCGGCCACGTCACCACTGCAGGTACGGATCGTTGCAAGAGAGAGATAGAGAGAGAGAGAGGACGTCACGAACTGTATTGACCCATGAGGTCGTCCTTTTGCGTTCGTGTCGCTAACTCGTCCGTTGTTGTGAATATCCGGTGTATGGCTCTGGACAGATTATGTGGGTCGCTCGTCTGTGGCAATTGTTCGAAACGGCGGTGGACCCTTTCGTACAGCTTGAGCAAGAAAGCGTCTCGCGTTTGCGACAGTTGCGCCACGTCGGCCATGAGCATCACGCGGACGTTCCCTGCCGAAGTGTGACGACGCCTTTTTGCTCAGCGCTCTCTCTCTCTCTCTCTCGGAAACTTCCTTGTTAGAACCTTGCGTTCGTGCTCTGTACCAGCGTTTGGGAGTGTGCAAACTGTGTAAATTATAATTGATACAATACTTTGACACTGAACAGTCGCGAGCTGCTGCGACTGTAGCTACTCGCACGAAAAGTCGAGTCGAGATGCCTGCGAAGACGTGTGACGAAGGCGGTCGGTCTATCGACTGTGCGCGCTCTATTGCTCAATTAAACCGTCCAGTTTAGAACGCCATGTCAAACGAGCTGGCGTCAAGGGAAAGGCCAGTCGCCACTGGCGCATTTCGATATTCGAGCATCCCACCCCAAACATACACCACCGGTCGGTCACACGACGGCGGAAGAGACGATCGATCGATCGATCGATCGATTGCACGTGGCCGTAATGGCCCAATCGTGTTGCAATCGACTGCAGACGAGGGTCAAGTGACTTTTCTCGAACCAGGCTGAACGGCAAAGACAGAGGAGGAGGAGGAGGAGGAGGGAAATGGTTCCTCGCTCGGTATCAGATCCTCATTCACGACCCCAGTCGAGACGTTTGCTTGCGACATGGACACTCCAAGTCCGTCTGAATCAGCTCGAGCCCCAAAGTTTGCGGCACTGAGTTCGGCAGCAGCCGTCAGTTAAGCCACCGAGCCGACTGCGCCTACGCCACGGATGATACTCACGACCCGACAAGACACCTGCTCTTACATACCCACGCTCAGACCTACACTCTCATACCTACACTCACCCATACATTTATACAGATGTCGATCGATCCATCCATTCATCCACTTCGACGACTCAGTGCTGTGACGGACCCGTCGCTGCACTCGAAGCGATTAGGTAATGCTGACCAATTGCGTCGCTTCTGATTGGCCACCGCAGTGGTTCAGCTCATTCGTTGGTCGAAAGTGCGTCAGCTGGTATCGCAGAAGCCAGTGACTACTTTACGACCACGGGCGCTCGCTCGCTCGGTCGGTCGCTCGCTCGGGGTCATTCGCCATACTGCGCACCTCGCGGCTCCTTCCCCTCTCGCTCGCTCCCCCTCTCTCTCTCATCCGCCCATCAGCTGCTCTCTGCGGGTGGGAAGAGAAGGACTGCCCTCTCCGTCGCGTCTCTTTTCCCCTCCTCTCTCCTCTCCCTGCTAGTCCTCGTTCCCCACTGGATGCCGCTCTTCTCGCGGTCCTCCGGACGCGAGTCCACCAAGACCAAGACGCACCGCTTCTCTCTGCGCAAGCACCACCACTTGAGCCACTCGGACGCCGACAGGGACGCCGTCTCCCTCCTCAGCAGCAGCCACAGCAGCCACTCGGAGTCCAAACGGACGCGACGCCCGACGCCGCTCGGGAATCGCACGCCGGAGCAGACGATCGTCGGGTCGTCACAGCAGCAGCCGCCGCCTACTCGAGCAGCTCTCGCGTCCAAGTCCTCGCACTCGTCCAAGTTGTCGTCGTCTACGCGGTCGTCGGCCTCGACGCTCCGTAGCACGAGTCCGACGCTCCAGGAGAATCTGCTGCTGGCTGAAGAGAACGACACGGAGATCGTGGACGAGTCCGAGTCACCATCGCCGCCATCGCAACACAGTCGCAAGCTCAGTATGCGCGACAGCCAAAGCCAACCGAGCGCGACGACGTGGCAGTCGTCGTCGCGCGGCAGTCGCAAGAGCTTGGCCGAGTACCGGCAATTGCAGTGCTCCATGTCGTACAAAAACCGCGTCAACAGTGACGCCTTCCGTGGCACTTGCACCACCGCTACTTCCAGCTCGAGCGAGTCCACATCAAGCGAGCGGATGAGCGACGTACGGATGTCTCTTGTCGATACGTTCCGTACGACCAACACGTCGGTCTTGTCCTCGTCAGACGGACTCAGTTTGCTGACCGCGCGGATCTCCGAGTCGTCTACGGCGATCACAGCTGCCGGTCCTCCGCCTTCTGTGGTCTCTACACTGACGTCGGTCTCTTCTCCAGCTGCGTGGTCTCCCGAAGTCTCGAGAGCATCCGCGACTAGCAAAATGACCGAAGCTGGTGTTGCGGCACTGCAGACACGCCGAGCTTTCCAGCAGATGGTCTTGGCCATGGAAGACGAGGATTCAGGTGACGAGGACGAGTCGGAGCACGATGCGTGGCACGTGACGAGCCATCCCGAGATCTCGAGTGGCGTCTCTGGTGTCCTGCGTCTTGGTGTAGACGAATACCGGAAGTTCCAGCTACGTCTGCGCCAGCTGGAGGAGCTTGCAGCAGATCAGTCTCGGAAACAGTCCGACATGGAGCGCACGATTGAATTGGAGGTCCAGACGAGGACTCGGAAAGTCGTTGAGGCGATGGAGAAACAGATCAGCATGTACAAACAGGCAAAGGAGTTTGAACTAGAGCGAGAAGTGCAGCGACGAGTGTCCGAGCACGTGGAAAATTCCAGGTGGAGTCGTAGTTTGAGTCGAGTTAGCCTGGCGCGCCGCTCTTCGACACAAAATGGGCACGCGGGTGGCAGCGTTGGCAGCTTCCGTGACAGCCACAACATAGCAAGTAGTATCAAGGAGGAGGGCACGTCGCTGGAAAAGCTGTTGCATCCACGACGGTCTCGGAAGCGCATGGAACAAATGAGAGAGCGCGAGCAAGCCCAGAAACGCGAGATGGAGCAGTTTCGAGAGTTTATTCGGGTCACTGAGATGCGCCTGACGCCAGTGCACGGCATGGAAAGTGCCATGTCAGCGACGCAGCTCGAGGTGGCCAAGAAGAAATTAGATGAGCTGGCGGACCCGTTGGTGCCGGACTCGTTGGTGCAGTCCTCGCCGTTGGAGCTCATTGAGCTCATTTGTGTACTGCGCAAGAACGGCCGTGAGCAGGACAAGCAATTAGAAGAAGCCAAGAGTCTTGTGACCGCCGCGATCGAAGCGCGCGAAGATGCCGAGACGACAGCTCGAGAGGCTGTTGAACTCGCGCTTTTGCTGGACGCGAGGTTAGATCATTACGCTGTGCGTGAGAAGCAGAAGGGGGTGGTGAGACAGACAGATGTGCTTTCAGCAGCTGACGAGGTTCGACAATTGAGGGAAGTTCAAGGTGCAAGGACAGACCCTTTGACCTGGCAATCGGGTACGCCGGCTACATCTCCGTTAGCAGGTTAACTGGCACTACCAAGTACGAGTGTTTCGCGTTATAAAGCGTCGGAGGTTGGCAAGTGCTCGTGGACGAGAGAGCTCCGTGCGCACGATTTTGGCAGTGTATATGTACTATAAGCGAACCCATCGAAAGGTTGTTATTTGTTACTGTAAAAAAACGGTTTCAGCACTTGAACTTGAAATGAGCTTTTGGTTGGTTGGGAGAGTCTCGATTCACCACGACAAGTGGGATATCTCATCATCGGCATCATGAGTACGGCGGACAGCATCTTCCTGGCCGTAGCTCGTCAGCAGTCCGAAGAGTTTGCAGCAGGGACGCTCAAGTCACCATGGGAGTACTTCGAGTACAGCGTGAAGCTGGCATTGGCCCGCTGGACGGCGTTGCGTATGGCTATTGAAGGCGAATGGGGCGGCGGGGACACGCGCCGCAAATACGAGATCCTGCAGGACGAGATCCTCAACGTCTTCAAGTACAATAAGACCGTGTACGCCGACGCGATGGCTGACAACATTGGCGGCTACGTCGAGACGGAGTTTGGTCTCATCTGCGAAGACGGTAGCGTCGAGGAGGTATCGGAGCTGCTCACGGTGCTGGCGGAAGAGTGCAAGAAAGCACAGTACGACCGCATCAAAATGATGCACGACCAAGTTCAGTCGCTCCCCTCGATCGACTTGAAGGCCCTGAAGGTCAAGCCACAGGATGATGGCGTCGGACTAGCTCAAGGCGGCAGCACTCGGGCTCTTGACATGATCATGGAGGACACGGAGCCGGACGTGCCGCTGGTCGACGAAGATGGCTTTACTACAGTGCGTCGCTCAAGCAGACGGAAAGCACCGACGAAATTCTACGACCCTGCGGCAGAGTTTCCCGGAGCCGCATGAAGGCAGAGAAGGCTTTTGCTTCAGCGTCATTGCATTGAGTCTCGTCTTGTACTGCCCACTAATTTACTCACTCTCAATGATCCGCTTGAGATGGTCCTGCCGGTTGTTTGCTGTCATCTGCCGCTTGTTGTGTCTACTCAAAAGCAGCAAACATGTCGTCGATTTCCTCCACGTTCTCGACCTGTGACGACAGTGAAGCTGCAGCCAGATTCACGTCGACTTCCTCTTCACCGTGTAGAAAGGCGCGTGCTTCAGCAGGCGAGACGTCGACAACGGGGTCTTCCGCTGACGTTAGTAAACTGACGTTCGCGTCTTTGATGGCGTTCCACGCATCCGAGTCTTCGGACAAAACCGACTTCAACTTGGTCAAGAAATCGTTGAATTGAGCAGAGTACTGGATCTCGGGACTGCGGTTGCGAAAGTGAGTGAGACACTGTAACGTCTTGGAAAAAGATGCTGATCCGCTCTGTGTGAGGAGCTTCTCGATTTGCATCTGCATGCCAGCTACAGCCGTAGTGAGCAGATGGCGACGATTCGTTTTCAACCGAGAGGACTCAATCAACGTCTCAAAGTCGGCGATGGGGTTCATTGACCCCACCGTGGTCACATCACCGCTTTTCAGTAGATCGTCTAAATCCAGCTCCAGGTCGGAGCCTGCCTCGCCACCTGCCGCTTCAACTTGTTCTTCTTTCAGGTCCTCCTCTTTCACAGAAGCTGCTGGTACATCGCTCCAGAACGACTTCTTCTTGCGATCCTTTGCCTCCTTCACTGCTTCTTTGAGCTGGAAAGCGTTGCCAAAGCTCTCGATGAGGGTCAAAATTTTCTCTTGACGCCCAGGATCCATCTTCAGGCTTGACTCCATGTACGAAGGTAGAGCAGGAACCCCGGCCGATTCGTCTAGTGCTCGTGTGGACACTGCATGAAAAAAACGACGAATTACGGGATTAAAGCACACACCCACCTCATCAGCCTTGTCGCTACGAACACTTAAACTGTCGACAAGCTTATCCGCTAGCGATTGCTGTTCCTCGGACGGGGTGTGTCTTCGAGTTTTCAACGGAGCGAACTCGTAGTTTCGCACATCTTCTTCGTATGGCAATTGCTGAGCCCACATTGCATAGTAATTCTCATCTTGATTAGCCGATGGCGCGTGGGGTATCAGAGCCACGATCTTGGGCGCAGCATTTTTTCGCGGTACAAAGCGAGCAATGATCACTTGATCTAGCTCAACCATTGCGTCAACTAAAGCGGCAAAACATGTTGCTGCATGTAGTTTTCCCGGTTCAGCAATGAACACATCGCAGTTCGCAACGAAGTTGGCATGACTGATCTGTGCTCGGTCTAGAAAACCCAGTACTTTCAACGATTTCTCTGTTTGGAGCTTGAAAAACTCCACGTCTGCTGAGCCGAACGGAACTTTGTCTGCGCCGTATCGGTACGCTTTGACTTGTTCGTCTGGAGGAACTTCTTCGTCCATATTTTGTGGAGAGGTATAACGACGGTCCAGCTTTACTTTTCCCGCCGTCTCTTTTTGGTACGAGGCCTGAGACTCTTTCAACAGAGTCGGCAGTGTGGCTGTTTTAGTTTTCAGGTAGCAGTATACTGGAATGCCCAATGCGTCTCCAAAATCTAGTGCTCCTCGAAACTTGGTGGTCAAGGCCACGGTTTTTTTCATTCCCTGCGCAAGCAATTGCATACGCTTAGACACTGAGCACACCTCGCCTCCAACTTCGTTCGCTATTGATACAAGCATCTTCTCGTTTTCGATCTGTAACGACACACGAACAGACTCAAATTGACGAAACAAGGCGAACAAATGATGAGTACGCGTACCTTGATAAGCTCCAATTCACTAGAAGGTGCTGCCATAGGTTCGTCCTTGCAGAACCCTTTCGCTAACTCCACATCTGCTGCCGCATGTTCTTGGAGCTTCATCGTTGTACTTGTATGCTGAAAATCCAGTCCGCTGGATTCGTGTCACAACACATGTAAGAACCATCTCTAACCACATTGTGTCATACACACTGTCAAATCTTACATCACTTGGAGCTTCACTTCCATATTCAGAATCATTGTCACGATAGATTCTAAGTCTCCTGCATAGGCAATCTTAGCCGCCGCATCAGTGATGACCATCAGCCTCTTATCGTACTTCTTTCCATCCGTCCGGCGAAACAACAAGTCCAGCGCGACAATCAAGCCGTCCAGGATATCCACCTGCATAACGTCAACACAGTCACTGAGCACAAGCAGCACCGACACCATCCAGCAGATACAACATCGGACGTCCATACCTTGATCTCTTCTCTCTGCGACGGCTTCAATTCTCGCAGTCGTTTGACCATGTGCAGAGTTGGACAGTCAATCGAGTTCACTACTTGCACATTCCGATACTCATCTTCGCCCTGCTCTTCGTTCAGTTGATTATCCGTTTCTAGTTGCAGAAGCAGCACCAAAACGGCACTAGCGATCAGTCCTCTGAACCCAACACAGCTTGTCATTCTTCATGCTAAGCATCACAATCTGCAAACCTTCCGAGCCATAGACGACAACACCCACTTCATCCTTTGGCCTAAAGAAGAGCTTCAGCACCACACACAAAAGCGCGAAGAACAAAAGGATCAGCTCCATCAGACTGCTATCTCTCACGCCTCCTACAACATTGCAGGTCTGCATCCTGCCACTCTCACTGCGACAACTCCCACCTTTTGCTGCAATATGTTCTCAACAGCCACTACAGCTGCTGCAAAGCGCGTACGCAGCTCCTGAACGTCCTTGCGATCCCGTTGGCTCCAGTCGCTTGGACGATCGTTCGCCCGCTCCCGCAACGGCAATCGCATGGAAGCGCCCGCATCCAGCAGCACCACCACCGCCTCCTGGACATACACGGACACAATACAGTCGAAGCGTGAGTCCCCAAGCGAGCAACCAGCCTCCAGCGTCGCCACGAGTCCGTCCCACCTTCGTCCTCGACATGCTCGATCACCTGTTCGTCGTTTGCGTCTGCGTCGGTACCAACGCACCTACCGCATGTCATACCTACTGCACTGATACCGGTACTGCTTCGACCGTATATTGTGTGGGACACCTTACAATCAGCACCCTGACGCAGGTACTTTACGTTGAATTACTTGCACTTCCTTTTAAATTACTTGTAATTTATTTGCTGACAAATGGCGGAAGAGGAGGCATCACAGCAGGAATGGGCGGCGCAGGCCGAGGGGTTCAAGGCGGAAGGCAACAAGCTACTGGCTGAAAAGCGGTACAAAGACGCAGTAGAGATGTACACGCGTGCGATCGAGCTGGACCCGGACAACGCCGTGTACTACAGCAACCGCTCGGCCGCGTATCTCGCGATGGGCGACGCACGTGGCAAAGCGCTGCAGGACGCAAAGAAGTGCATTGAGCTCAAAGCTGATTGGTGGAAAGGATACAGTCGAAAAGGCGCGGCTGAACATGCGCTACTGCGCTTTGACGCCGCGCGAGCGACGTTTAATGAGGGACTGCGGCTGGATCCGGAGAATCCGTCGCTTCTGCAGGCGTTAGAAGAGGCGTATGCAGCTGGACAGAGTTATAGCAAGCGATTGAGGGAACAGGAGCGACTGCGGGTGGAGCAAGAGGAGAAGGAGCGACAGTATGAAGCAGCGGAGAAGGAACGGAGGCTGAAGGAAGCAGAGCAGGAGAAGAAGGAGAAGGAAGAGGAGAAGCCGAAAGACGAAGACGTGCTCTTGGCAGAGTTCATGTCGGAAGTGCAGGAGCTGGAGGAGAGTGCCAATTGCATTAAGAAAGATGTGGACGGTGAGGAAGCTCAGGAGAGGAAGAGGGAGAAGAAGGTCGTGGAGTTTGGCACGTCTGACGGGCAGATTGAGCGGTTGCTGCAGCCGCATTTCAAGTGGATCAACTTGAATCCTTTCAGGGTGCTCATGCTCGATCTGGACGCCACAGAAGAGGACATGAAGCAGCATTACCGGAAGGTAGTGTGTTCTGGTGCTGTTTGTGGCTTTGTAGTCGGTGGCTTTTGACGTGTGGCTGTGGCGTGTGTAGATATCGACTTTGGTACACCCAGACAAGTGCCGCAACGATAAAGCTCGCGAAGCTTTCGAAGGTGAGCAATGGTTTCGAGCACTATGGTCTTGCTCACATTACTGACCAGGTCACGTGTCACATTGCGGTTTGTTGGTGTAGAGGTGACGAAGGCGTACAACCTCATCACACAGGAAGACCGGCGGAAGATGTGTATTCGCACGATCGAGAATGCGACACTAGAAGTCAAAAAGGACCGCCGCCGGAAGATCAAGAAGGGCATCAAAGAATGCGATTTGGGTGATCTGGACGAGGCCGTGGAAAAAGCTGTGCTGCGCTCGTTCGCCGAGATTGAGAATCGTCGCGTGAATATTGAGAAGCGTGAAGCGGCGCAGCGGCGACGCGAGGCAGAGCAGGAGGAAAAGGAGCACGCGAAGGTTGTGGATATGTTCAAGCGAGAGCGCTCATGGGCAGAGATGGACCGCCGGGATCAGCGCGTCGGTAGTTGGCGGTCGTTCCAGAAAGGAGGCAAACGGCGGAAAGAAGTGGATGCACAAGGATGGAAAGAAGAAACACGGGTACGTGTTGCGAACGAAGTGAAGTGTCATTGCTTGATGCTGGTATTGCCTTTGGTTGCTAATGTAGGCGCTTGTATCGTGCGTGATGCAGGAAGAGAAGAAGTTCGGCGAGGTAGACAATGAAGCTTACAAGAAAGGATGGAAATAAATTAGAGGCTTACTTTGCGGTCCGGTCTCGTACAACTCTCGTGTTCTCCGTTCTATTAGAAGTCGATCTCCATCAAGTGATCGTCTTGAGTGCACGTGTCTCCATTGACAGTCCTGTTTTGCTGTTGCTGCTGGGGATATACCATTGTCGGATGGACCTGGTAAGACAATTGTTGCTGCTGCTGTTGCCGTTGGAAGGCGTATTGCGCTTTCTGCTGCATCTCGAGAAGAAACGCATCCAAATAACCCACCGCTTGCTGTCGACTTGTCTCCGAGCTTTGCAAAATCAAATCAAAACAAAAGGTCAGCTAAGTAAGTGGAGCTACTACGCACTCGGACCCTTCATTCGAACAAACTGACCCGTAGATCGACAGAGTCAGCACGTCTGACATTGGTCTCGTCATAGGAGACCCCAGCACGGTGTAACATGGAAGAACAATGTGCGTGCCCGTGTACTCCTGGAACTTTTCCATTGTTATTCCCCCTTCACCGTGCAGCATTGGCAACAGCTCACGCGGCAGCGTGTAGTACGTCACCTCCGAAAGATCGATGTTTTTCCTTCGTCTGGCACCTGCATGATCAATCACCATCCCGTCCTCATCGACATCATCGTCACCTTCTCCTTGATCGCCGTCATCACTCGAAATGGTCTTCTGCAAACTCGACTTTGGGGCTTCGGTCGAGTTCTTTCTTGCAGCCCCAAGCGGCACAGCAGACGCCAGCGGCGAGTCACTTCTTGCCGATGGCTGGAAACTCAACACGCGCTCCATCGCACGTGGGTTCGGCATAAACTCTTTCCCGACGAACGTAAAGTCAACGCAGTGCGAGCGCGCCCAGTTTCTCGTTAGATTTTTTCCATGAAACGATCGCTAGACACCACAAAGACGAGCTCAAAAAAGACACATACAAAGCAGCAGCCCAGCAAGCAGCACAGTCAGTCACAGCGAGTCCGTTATCCTGTATCACGGCTAGACCAGCACCCCTCCATATGTCCGTCCCACCTTATTCGATACGTGGTCCCGAAACATATCGTTCGTAACGATAAATCCATCGTATTTGACCGCATAGTCGATGACGTACAAGTCGTCATGAGCATGGGACGGCGTGAGAATCACAGCATCGTTCTGTACCAGCTCCTTCAGCAGGACCAAGCCATCTGTACCAATAGCACTGCTGTCATCTCGGCAACCTCCACTGCTACTGGACGGGGGCTTTGCGTTGAGCCAGAAATTCGGTGCGAAAGCCACGCACTTGATGGGATAATCCCCCGCTGTCCGTTGCAACGACTGGAAGAACTGAATGGCCGCTGCAAGCTTGGGGATGCAAATGTTGCCATCTTTTTGACAGGCGACATTGGCCCCGTCAATGACGACAACGCATTCCCTGCATAGTGAAATCAAATGAACGATCGATCAGTGCCAAAGTCGCCGACAAGATATCGCTCGTTGAAGAGCAATTCGGACAAAAAGGAGTAAGAAAAGAGTGCATGAGGAGCGTAAGACGAGGCGCAACATGGTGCTGCCAGTCTGAGCACCATCTCGTCGCTGTGTTCGAAGATATCGCATGTACATGCAAAAAAACTATCGATGGGCCACCACGTACTCGACTTTTGCCATGCTCGACTCGACAAAAACTGAGACACCTGAGACCTTTCGGTCGATGATTGGGTACAACTCCATTCTACCTTCTAATTGGCTGAAATACGGCAGCAACGTGAGACCTTTGGGACAATGACGGTAGCTCAGCTCGACCCTATCTTTTAATTGGATGAAATGGTGCAGCTATCTACTACGTGAGCTCTTCACCACGAATGGCTGCGACCGCTGCCGTGCGCGTGGCCCACGTGAGCTACGCGCCCCACGCGTCGCACTTGAAGCTGCGACTGCATCTCCACAACGAGCAGAGGACTTTCTTCCGTCCTGCGGATGAAAAGCTCGACCGCGTGCGCTACCGTCTGCAGCTGCTGGCGTCCAATGGATCAACAGTACCGAAGAACTGGAAGAAGAAGAAGCAGCAACAGAAAAAGAAGCATAAAAAGGGAGCTACGGGTGGCATGGCGCCTACAGTGCCCGTCAAATTCGTTGATGCTGAAGGCAACGAGATTAGTTCGAGAGGTGCGACGGTTGCCGACGCGTTGATGCGCACCAAGAGGCTTGACATTGGAACGGAGACGTTCGTGGTTTTGCACAACCAGCCGATTGTTACGGGACTTAAGGTGCTCGAGCCGATAATGGCTGGAATCACTGTGATTGCGTTGGTTGAGACGGAGTTTATCAGTGTCGACGAGTGTTTGTGGCAATGGTTTCGCCTGAATGAGAAAAACGGTGACGATGGCGAGAACGAAGAAAGAAGCAAAAAAGTATTGGTTAGCACTGAGAGAAGATACACGCCGATGAAAGACGATGTTGGCTACAGGTTTTATGTAGAGTGTCGCGCACCGACAGCAGACTTGAGCTCAGAGTTTGCACGAGATCGCAAGGCAGGAAGAGTAACAGCGCCCGTGTTGCCTGGACCAAATCGAGACGCGTTCAAGGATCGAATACAGATGGGTTTGGTCGCTGCTACTGAGAAGTATTCGGATGCAGTAGATGCGTTTCGAGTCATGAGCTACAATGTGCTGTATGACGGTTACGCAACTTCAAAAAATGCACAGACAAATATGTTTCCGTATGTCAAAGCACGCATCATGAAGGAGTCGCGCCGGATGCAACTGGTTTTGCAGGAAATCGAAGAAAACAACAGCGACATCGTTTGTCTACAGGAAATGGGTGAGCACGTGTACACGAGACTCTTTGAACCGATGCTCTCGTTGATTGGCTACCATGGATTTTACTCGGACAAAACGGGTACGACAAACGAAGGCTGCGCAACTTTCGTTAGAACGACCCGTTTCGAAGTGGTTAAAGAAGACACTGTAGATCTCACCGCGGCAGTCAAAGCTTCGACAAATCCCGCTTTGCAGAATTTGTTGCAAGACTTTCCTGAAATCGCTGCAGGTATAAAACGAATTCCGTCCATCGCTCAATTACTTGTCATACGTTCTAAGGTGGATCCAGCGCGGAGCATCATCTTGTCAAATACGCATCTTTTCTACCGTGGAGATGCGCATTTGATTCGATTGATGCAAGGTGCTGCAATTGTAGAGTGTGTAAGCGAGCAGAAGGTAGTACTGGGATATGAAGACGCTGCTGTCGTCATGTGTGGAGACTGGAACGCGCACCCTAAAGCACCGTTGGTCGCTTTCCTTTTGGATGGCGAGATCGATTCTACGAATAGCCACTGGCAAGAAGCGCCGTCGTTCCGCTGGAAAACGTCTCAAGATGACGATACTGGCGCGAATAGTCGCGTGAAAAACGTCTCTGAGGTTCGTCCTAACCGATTGGTGCACGATCTTTGCTTAGTAAGTGCGTGTGGAATCCCAGCATTCACGAATTTCGTAAAATCGTTTGTGGACACCCTGGACTATATTATGGTTGGATCCAAGGCGCTTCAGGTTCGTGATGCATTCCCGTTTTTCACCGAGGAGGAAGTAGGCCACGAAGTTGCACTGCCGTCATCGACTTTTCCGTCGGACCATGTATCTCTTGTGTGTGATTTGTCATGGCAAGGATGAATGCCAGCAACGGATATCGCCAGCATCCAGCTTGACGGGCTCGACCGACAGGCAATAAGAATTAAGTGTCATGACGGGGAATCAAGTTTTCTTGTGTTGATCCAGCGTCGGGCACAATGTTTGCATTGTTGTCAATGATGGCGGGTTCCGTCCATATGTATGTCAAAAGCGCGTTGTCTCGCAAGTACAGGAGACCGTAGTTTTGGGGTCGATCCAGATTGTTGCGATCCAATCGAGATCAGTAAGTCACAGTACGCGACGAATGTTCGCTCTATTATGCCAGCAATAACAGAAGCCGCTACAGTTAGTATCGCAGACCAACATGCTTGACTGAAGTCGAATGGCTTTGAGCTCCAGGCTTACGGTGCTGGCACACTTGATGAAGCCGCTATGTCTGCTCCGTCTAACTTCTCCTTGCAAACGTTTTCAAGGAGAGCTGCAACTTTACCCGTCTCTTCTCTGATTCCCACGTGCATGAGCAAACGAATTAGTCAAATGGATCAGTTGTCGTCTGCGAACGCCGTAAGACATCACATGAGTGCCGCAAGTTGTAGCAAACAGACCTCACCCGTCGATCTTTGATGCTGATCATTCCAACGACACCGCAGATGCGACCACAGCTGGCTCAACGATTGAACAGACGTTTCAGCAATCGGTAGTATGCATGGGACGTTTCAAAGGTCAAGGTAAAGTCGGACAAGCAGAGTCACACTGAAGATGGCAAGCTCTTGTACTTTTCCTTCGCATAATGAAAAGAAGTCCATTGATTGATGCTTCACAAGCACAGAACCAGGCACACTTTTGTCGTCACGACAACCTAGTCACAAGCATCCTGCAGGTAGAGAGAACATCATAAAAGGTCTCCTAAATGGCGTAGAAAGCACATCAGCACAATGAGCGCCCTTCAGCCCTTGAGCCGCTCTTCTGTTCGCGTTTCAGGGTGACATCTATCTCCTTGCTACATTTTGCAAATGGGGGATGGTCTTCTTGCGCTTTCTTCGGTGGCAATGGAACAAAGAGGTTGGGGCATCCGCTTTTTCCTGAACTGACTGCTGGTTGACTTGCTCTCGCGAGAAAGAGGTCAAGACCAAGTGGACAGAACAGTTGATGGTGTGAAGCAAGAACTGGACTGGTTGCTGTGACAGGTTCGACCAAGGCAAACGACGTTTGCGCAATGATCACCTTGCCCGCATTCTTGGAGACAGTCGCAAAGCAGCTCAATTTGTTGCAAACGTTCGAGCAGCGTGGACAGCGTTAGTGCATCGTTGTGCATTCTTTAGATGTGGTTCAGCCGAGGCGACCAAATGCCTTTAGTTGTTGCTGCTGCCCTTCACACTGGTCTAGCATCATTGCGACAGCCAGGCCGAGACTTCCGAGTGGCGAAAGGGCATCTTCCGAGGTGCGAATGACATGATTTGCGCTTGTACTCGAGGACGTAGCATACTCGGGACCGAGCTCGAGACGTCTCTTTTTCGAGGCACTTTCTTGTCAGCATTTGCGTCGTTAGGAGCATTGGCAACACAACACCTGAGTGCATCATTGACGCGAACAAGGGATTAAAATTCAAGGATCGTGTTGATCATGTTTTTATTGAGCTACAAGTCTGTGAACAACGCTCTTAAGATGAGCACTTAGAAGAAGAAGAAGAAGAAAGCAGTACCAAGGCCGACCACGACAGTCGACGCCGTCAGCGCGGCCGACTGGATGCTGACCGCTCCGCTGGTACTAGAGCTCGAGGACTCGTCACCGACGGTGGTGGTGTCGTTTCCAGAGCCGCTACCAGAGGGCTCACTTCCAGCGGACCCCGCTTCTTCCATGCTGCCTGTCAAAACAAGCACGTCAACCTCTTGGTCGATTGTCTCACCACCACTCCAGCCGTCCATGGCTTCGCCGTCGGCCATCGTGCCGTCGCCGTTGGTGGTGCTCGGATCACTTGATGTCGTCATGCCGTCCATCCTCATTTCATTTCCAGGAGCTGGAGCTGCAGCCATCGTTCCTTCGTTCGATGTCATCATCTCTTCGTTCGATGCCATCGGGTCTTCGTTAGAGGCCATCGGGTCTTCGTTCGAGGTCATCGGGTCTTCGTTCGAGGTCATTGCTTCCCCGTTTGATGTCATCGGTTCGGTTCCAGTAGCTGGGGCTGATCCCGTCGTTTCAGTTCCAGTAGCTGGAGCTGGACCCATCGCTTCGTCGTTGTTGGTAGTTGTTGTCTGCGCAATGGCGGCATTTTGACCTGCGATAGCAGTGGCAACGACGACGGCGGTGAAGATCTTCATCATCGTGGATTTACAGAAGACTGGGGTGGTTGCAAGTGTGAGTACTAGAGAGCGAATGTGCGAATGAAGAAGGACCTGGACGGCGCCTTTATCGTTTTTTCATCTTGTCCGGATTCAAGCAGCGAAAGGCAGGAGCACGAAACGGACAACGACGAACTTCGCGACCGTTTCGCAACGCATTTTATCGGTAGCACCGTGGTTGTTCCAGTACTGGACCGAATGAAACGGAAGAAACGAGCGAGGTTTCCACCGTCATCCTACACAGGCTACGGTTGCGTCCGTTCATGACTTGGTAACAGACTTTCGCTAGTTGTGTGTAAATGGCTCCAATCTAAAGTGAAGCAGATTGGCGAAAACAAGCAGTGACTAGTATGAGAAAGTATGGCAAGAAGGTGATGTATTTATTTACATTAGAGTCGCTTGCTAATGAACTATGCAAGTGTTCGACGTAAGTCGGTCTTAAAAGAGAGCTGTAGCGGCTAGGACAACTGTAGCACTCGTGTAGAATGCAACACGTTGGATGCTGCTGGCTTCCGAGCTCGATCCCGAGTCCAATGACGCGCTTGCATAGACGCTATCGGTATCTTCCATACCAGGAGCGCTGCTGCCGGAGCTGCCATCCGACTGGATGGGATCGATGTTCAGGTCTTCCGAGCCACTGGAGCCGTCGCTGCTGGAGGATTTGCTCGCGTCGATGCTTTCGGAGCTACCGGATGCCGAGGCGGATGCCGAGGCGGAAGTAGAAGCAGAAGTAGAAGCGGAAGTAGAGGCAGATGCAGAGGCAGATGAGCTCATGGAGTTACTCGCAGATGATGCAGCTGAAGCTGACGAAGAGGTGCTCGCGCTTACCGAAGCGCTGGGTCCTTCTGAAGAACCCATCGAGCTTGACATTCCAGGTGAAGGATTCATCGAGCCTGACGTCGACAAGAACATCGGGCGCGACAAGTTTGTCAAGTCGTCAGCGGCACCGACGGCAGCAAAAGCGACAGTCAGCACCAAAGGGTTAAGGAACTTCATTGAGTTGGATTTGGAGTAAAGTGATGGTTGAATGCGAGCGAGTTGGGGAATGAGACGCAGCAGAGTGATACTTGGTGGCTCTAGTTTCGATCCGTCAGCCGGCGTGGGTTTCGGTAGAAACCGTTCAGAAACCACAGCGTCCGCTCGGACTGGGTAACGTAAAATCGCAGAGCATAGAGTCGTCTTGCGACGCATCGCTCCTTGCGCATGCAAATTCGTGTTATCGGTTCGTGTGTCCGACTCGTGCGAAGTGGTCGGCACTGGACCCGACGGTAGCGAGTAAAACTGTCGCGATTTGAAATCGATAGCAGTGAACTGCGAGGACCCGACTCGTTGTTGCTGTGGGAGTCTAGAGCTGACACGCGATGTATGCGAAGATCAAGCATCATTCATGAGGGCAATAATCAGTCTCTGTTCGCGTTGTAAGAACTTTATCATTGCTGCCATCACTGCCGACATAGATCTGCTGACTGGACTAATGGGCCTGGGACGATCGAGTACTTGACGTCGCAAAGTGTTCGGGGTCGAAACATTTACAAATTTCGAGGTCCATGACTTTGATTTGAAATGGATGTGCGTCTCCAAAGGATCTACAAACGAGCGAGCTGGCGATATGAGATGCAGACGTTGCGCCAACTTGACCACATTTGGCGAGGAAAGGGTGGACGTGTTAGTAGAGTCTGGTGACAGTCCAAATGACGTTGCTACTGCTGATTGTACGACGAATGGCCGAACTTGGGGCGATTCGGATTACTAAAATTTGAAGAGCGGCGCCATAGACTTTCAGTACAGAAGAGCCACTTGTAAAAGACCTCCACAGTTACCGTGGACAACTACAAATCACCCTCGGTCATCGCGCTGGTGGCTTGATATAGAGCACCTTGTTTGGCTTGAAAACTAGCGAAAACAAAGAAGTGCGATTGCATCTAGCACGAAGAACCATGACGAGTTATGTTCGTCGACAGCTTCCATGTGGCTACCTTGGGTAAGGCCATCGATTGACTTGTAGCTAAAATTTCCAGCGAAAGCATCGTGAGAGTTGTGCTGTGGTCCTTCCGATCTGAACCTGCATTTGGTATTGATGCTTCGATTGACCTTCGATACAGGCTACACGATGTACTCGAAAGGCTGCCAGAAGTGCAATCGCTTGTGCAGTGTGCACTGAACGCTTTGCCTGAAAGACATTTCTCCTGTCTCCCGGGGTAACATGCGATTGGATATCATCCAAATCTTACCTGTGTCTGGCTTGCGCAACGGCAGCATACATCCTACTTTCAAACGAGCTTCGTTTTTGGCAAATGCGTAAGCATGTCCCGAGTCATGTAGCGCCCGATCCTCCTTGACGCTTCTATGGCCGTGGCTTAACATGTTCTTTGTCACGAAAGGTAAGCAAGCCTCACCCATCTACTGCAAGTGGTGGTCTACCCGACGCTACAAAAATTGTCGGTGATAGAAGAAGTTGAATAAAAATCGCGGTGCTTTCGGCTAGTCGCTTACCCTTCGTGGACGAAAAAAACCGTGAGCTATTCAGTCGACTTGACGATCTGGAGTACAACGACATCTTCCACAGCGTATCGCTTTTCGCAAACGAGCCTTTGACATCGTCAGAAGACCGGCCTTCAATGTAATTCTCTTTCATTGAATTCTAGTTCAGCGACGTCAATTACGTCAACATAATATCACTCGTACTAAGGCACTTACCATCTTGTCAGCTGCCAATGTGAACTTACTGCGTCTGTCCGCAGACAAAGCGTCTCTTCTGATTCAATTTTACCGTCATCGGTAAGGAAAATAAAGTTTCCTTCCAAACAAAGCACTCACAAAAACGTGCTTTCTATTCCACGCAATTCGATCGCCGTCTCGACAACTGATAACCTCTCTAAACGACGACTGGCCGTGCTGCACAAAACGCGCGAATCAAACCTGCAAAAGTCACTCATTTGTGCCGCTATGAGCACCTTGACCGAGGACCAGCACTTCACGGACGAGTATTTCCGCACGACAGTGGCACCAAAGCAGATCAATGAACACCGCGAGCGCGTCGAAGCGTTCCTCGACCATCACCAGGTCGTGGGTAAATGCGTCGCAATCGTGACTGCAGGGGGCACGACCGTCCCGCTGGAACAAAACACGGTGCGATTCCTCGACAACTTCTCCACGGGCTCGAGAGGTGCCGCTTCTGTCGAGTATCTGCTGGCAATTGGATACGCAGTGATCTACGTGCACCGTCCTGGATCGATCGCTCCTTTTGCGAGACACTTGCAACGTGCGACATGTACGGCGCTGGATGCGGATTTCTTGCAGTACGTTGATGTACCCATTAACAGTAAGAACGTGCGCGAGCAACAGATCCGTCTAATGATCGAGGATCCTTCTGCCAAGAAAGACGTGGTCGATGCTGTTCATAAACTGGAGAACGTGCGTGCGGCCAACACGCTACTAGCGCTGCCATTCACGTCAGTAGACGACTATTTTTTCGTCCTGCAGATGATCGCGACGTGTGTCGCACCTTGGAAAGAGCGTGCTTTGTTCCTCCTGGCAGCAGCTGTGAGTGATTTTTACATTCCACAACGAGACTTGCTGGAACACAAGATCCAGTCACGAGCAGGTCCGCTCCACTTGACGCTGCAGCAAGTTCCCAAGATGCTCGGCGTTTTGCGTCACAAGTGGGCGCCGCAGTCATTTGTAGTGTCGTTCAAGCTCGAGACGGACCGAGAGATTCTGTGTAAGAAGGCAAAGCAAGCGATCGATAAGTATGCGATGCACGTGGTGGTCGCGAACGAGCTGCACTCACGATATAATGAGGTGCTTCTGATTACGGACATGGAAGAACGTCTGATCTCGCGGCCGGAGGAAGAAGCTGATATTGAGAGGGTCTTGATGGAAGCGTTGGCACGTTTGCATTACCAGTACATCGCGTCGCACGACATCTCGATCCCTGAAGAAGTTGGTAGTCGCGTTTTGCGACGTGCCCTTTTCAACTCTTGGAAGAAAAAGTTGCCCACGTCGATGCAAAGGTTGCTCTGTGTCATGGACGAGCACAAAGAGGAGATTTTAGGTGTCGTCGTCGGCGGGTTGCTCTCTGTCCTGCTCAACAGCATGCTGCAGCGTCGTAACCGCTAGATAGGAACAGAAGCACAGCGAAATTATATAGTGAAAATCGATTCAGTCGGATCATCCAGACTCTGAGAGTGCTGAAACAGGACACGCAGTAGCTTGTTTGTGCTGCCAATTTCTATCACGTGCTCACTCCATTCCGTGCTGTGCCTTTCCCTTCAGAGTCTCCAGAAACTCCTTCTTGGTCTCGTCGGCGGCCATGCCACCGCGACAGCTGGGCGAGGCCTTGACCACGGCATTGGCTTCCCACTGCTGGGGCGTTTTGCTGAGGATACTGAGCGCATGCACGCCCTCATCCAGCTCTTGCTGTAGGACAGCGTTCACCATACGATGGCGTTGGAGGAGCGGCTTCCCATTGAACTGGTCGGTGACGACGACCACCTTAAAGTGCGTCTCGGAGCCTTTGGGTACATTGTGCATAGAGCTCTCGTTCACAACGTCCAGATGTTGCGGCGCAAAGGCAGTCAGCAGCTTCTCACGGATACGACGCGCGACAGGTCCCACGCTCTCGGTCATGCTACAACGGTGCTGCTGCTTGTCGTGCAGACCTGTGCGGATCAGACGAGGGCGGAGCGCGAGTGATGCGTGACGGGCGACTTGACTCGCCCGAGATGAAGCGAACCACTTGCTGATCATGGACGACGACGGTGGAATTTAATTTTGATGGGCAAACGATAAAGTCTGAGAAGCGCAGCGTGATTCATGTCTGCCACACCTTTTATGAGGTGCACCACACACTCATGTAGTTTGTGTGTCGGAACATCAATCTGACGTGTCCACTGGGGACATCGTTGTCGATATGGTAAGGCGTCGACTGCGCCTCTTCTTCTTCATCCCTCTCTCCCTCTGCTCTGTTCTATAACGTGTTGCGATGTGTATGTACAGATTGAGTCGGTTCTTCTCGTGAGTCGCCAGGGCAAGACGCGCCTTGCCAAGTGGTACCTGAACGCGTCGCTGAAGGAAAAGACGCGCATGATCCGCGACATCACGTCACTCGTGCTCTCTCGTCCGCATAAACAGTGCAACTTTATCGAGTTCAAGGAGAAGAAAATCATTTACAAAAGGTCAGTAAAACTGGGATAGTGGATGCCGCTTTTGGTGCCACCGAGACGGACCTCTGCTGACTGACGGTGTCCTTGTTGTAGATACGCGAGTCTCTATTTCATCGCGTGCATCTCGAAAGACGAGAACGAGCTGATTACTTTGGAGGCTATTCATCTGTTCGTGGAAGTGCTTGACCGCTACTTTGGCAATGTACGAGTGGCTGGATGATAGAAGGAGGGAGACAGAGGAGAGAGTATATGGCAATGGAGACTGAACCTTTTTTGTTTTGGTGCAGGTGTGCGAGCTGGACATCATCTTTAACTTCCACAAGGTATGCAGGAGACACATGTGCATTGAGACTACAACAAAAGGCTGATTGGTCGGGATGAATGGTGTTTGATCGTAGGCGTACTACATTCTGGACGAGCTCTTTATCGGAGGCTACCAGCAGGAGTCGAGCAAGAAAGAAATCTTGCGTATCTGCACGCAGCAAGAAGACTACATGGACGAGTCGAAGGAGGAAGGCTTTGTCCGTCCTCGTACAGGCACGCGCTAGTAGGCGAACTCTCGTGCTGCGTGGTTGTAACTCGACCACAGCAGTTTTGCATGTACTCGACATGTGTCTACTCTCTAATTCGATGATGATGATGACGCTACTTTTAAGAATGGTTGCAACATTCGCAGCTCCGACCTTGAGTCTGGATGCTGTTGAATTCTCACACATTCTTGTTGGCATAAGGTGGTTTTGGGAAGTACTTGAGCCAGTCGTCATATCTGTTCTTCGCTGGCCACCTCAATCAGCTTACATGCCTCGGTGTATTAACTGGCACGCTACATGCAATCCACGATATCTGCGTCGTCATCCGATAGCTGCGTCTGCCTTAGATGTGGTGTTAAACTTACACCAATTATTTATTATGCGACGTTCTGCATACAGAGCTGCGCGGATCGGCATGAGCTCCGACATCTCGCAGCAATTTGATTCCGCTCGCAAGCTGCGTTTTCACTTTGTGCATACTTCTCATTGCTTCTTTGCGCAGCCAAAACTGTTCTTTCGTCATACCTTGAATCGCGTTCTCCACACGTTGCAGCTTCTCGACCAACTCGGCTTTAGACGACGCTGCATGCTGGGCGTGGATCGAGTTTACATTCGTAGCAAGTCGTCGGTGAGTCCGGTTCATCCAGCGGACACAATTCATCTGACCTCGACGAGACTGCTTGTCAGCATGAGCAGAAGCCTTCACATTCTGAATCGCCTCCTTCAGATGCGATCGCTTCGTCTTCAGGTCTTGCAAGGAGCTCATCCTCCGAACGAATTCCGTATTATTGCGGGAACTCGTCCGTAAAACCTGACCACGACCGCAAATCAGCAGCAGGTTCAACGTCTCTTGTCATCACGTAGCACGTACCACATGAGTATCTCGGTACCAGAGTCTCCAGTCGATCACGTCGTAACCCCCACCATCGAGCAATGCTCGGTCCTGGCTTTCTCTCAGCAATGGATGCCTGCTACCAAAACTTCTCGCCAGTCCACAGCCGGGCACTCCCGTCTCGGTCTTCAGTGAGTCCAGCCCCCTCATCAGTAGCACTCGGGAATGCCGCTGCCACATCGGGCCCACACAAACTCCCTGCTCGGCATTGCGAGCCACACAGGCCACTCGGCAGAGCTCCTGCGCGTCCAGGAACTCCCAAATGTTCTGTTTGCACTCGTCCACGAGCTTCAGCAGCATCGTCACTACTGAGTTTTTTAGCAAAATTACGACACGTAAACGTACTACGACGTGACATGAGAAAGTCTTTACTGTCAGCGTTTATAATTTCTTCATGGCAACCCACTGAGGGCACGGCTCGTCAAACTTCGTCGTCGTGACGGTAGTGTCGGAGATGCTGATTGATGTCACGTGAGAGTAACCATTTGAGTTTCTTAAGTGTAATTATCGATGCCGTCATGTCCTCGCTCGTCTTACAGAGTCTACGTCGGGAACGACAGAATGTTATGATCTCCAACGATTCCTACAAACGCTGTAAGACTGGTATTTGTTGCAAGTACTGTGCTACCCTTGTAGGCATATTGCGGTGGGTCAGACTTACTAGTTCAGCACGCAATTCGCCGATACAGATCCGAAATCCGAAGCTGATGCATCGTGCTAACGATGAACGGATTCAAGATCTACAGGGCCATCTAGCATTAGGGTCTCGGAGGTGTCGGTCACACAAAACAGGCACGAAGCAAGTATGAAGTAACTCGACTTGTTGCATCACTAAACGGCACAATGCGAGCTGAGATTATCGCATGAACTAATACAAGTTCATGGGATAGTCGCGCTCAGATCAGCACTGCAAGTTCTTTCACATTGATGAAGCAGACAATGGTCACGTAGGGACGTGTCGCAAACAGCACGGGTGCAGCGGTGTATTCGTGGCCGTAGCAGTTCCGGTGCAAATGCTGAAATGCTAAACCAACACACGATGTGAAGCGACTAGTTGTTATCGACCTTTGTGAGCTTGGCGTCAACACCTCATTTCACCGATCGATTTCGATAGTAGAGCGTTGTCGACATTGCGTGATAGCAGCCAGTGATGTTGATCAAATTGTTTGCAGAGTTGCAATCAGGCGCCGTTGATCCTCAAACGCCTCGTTTTCGGCTGAAGCCAAAGCTCGATGTTGCCATTCTTCACGACGCAAAACCAGACCATGTAGCTCCGAATGCTCCAGCTTGCGGTTCAAGAAAGCGACCGTGACTTCAGTAATCTCCTAGAAATCCCACTACATCGGGACCGATCGATGGATCAATTTCCAGAAACTCAATTGTTGCAACCTGCTCGCTGATGTGTAAAAGTCACATCAAAAAGCCATGACTCGTGCCTGTTGGTTCTTTCCAAATCTACTGGCAATACCACAAACAAGTTGGTAGGTAACCTCTAGCACCAAAGCCAAAGAGCAGCAAGACAAATTCCAGTCGACATTCGGCCCTAAGTCTTGGTGCGTTTCTGATCGCAGACTTTGTCCGACTCCTGGAGGTCACAAAGTTTCGTCACAGATGCTGACGAGGGACAGCTGACTACAAACGATGACAATCCTCCTTCCTCTGTGGATTTTCCGTCCCATGGTTTTTTCGGCCGTGTCGCCACTTGAAGCTCTCCGAATAGAGAGACATGCACCCGTTACCGGCTCATTAACGAATTCGCGACAATGTACACGCAACCAGTTTACGACCAACGTGAACGCTCGTTTACGACCCCGTCAGCGCCTCCGGACGTCCCGAGCTACCAAACGCCAGCCCCAGACCGTCGGGGCTCGCTACCGAGCCAGCACCGCTTCGTCCAGCCTCCGTACATGCAGCAACCGCAGCAGCGTGGCCTCTATCCGGACATTGGACAGCATACCCGCCCCTCTGCCCCGTCCAGAGGCTCATTCAGCCAGCACCAATCGCAGCAACAACAACAACGGCAGCAGCAACAGCAACCGTACTACAGCAGCCCTCACGAGCAAAATCCTTACGTCCTCCCACTCCGATCGAGCCAGGTGTTTGCTCCTCCAGACTCAGTGCAGCAGCCACCTGCCTGTCTTCAGCGTGAACCGACGCTTTACGGCGGCTACGGACCGGTGCAGCCACGCAGCTTCTCGTCATCTTCAAGTCCAATAGCTTTGACGCCGGACGGAATACCCTTGATGCCGTCGAGCGTCGTGGAACTTCGATTTCGCTGCAAGGGACTGAAGAAGTCTGACTTTTTGAGTCACTCGGATCCTTTCATCGTGCTTTATATGCAGATGGATCAGACGAAGGGATGGCAGGAACTTGGACGCACGGAATGTATTCGCAACACGCCGGACCCGGTCTTCGTCCAGTCTTTGCAATTGGATTTCTTTTTTGAAGAGGTCCAGAGACTACGGATCGAGGTCTTTGACCGTGACAGTGCGTCTGAAAGGTTATCGGACCATGATTTTCTTGGGTGTGTAGAGATTACGATGGGGCAATTGATGTCCGCCAAGGGTCAGTCGGTAGTCCTCAAGCTGTTACACAATGACAATGGTAGAGGACGCGTGCGCAATTTATCTGGTCATGTGGTGATAGAAGCTGCAGAAGTTTCGACATGCGCTGACATGGTCAACGTTGTGTTTACTGCAAACAAGTTGGACAACAAGGACGGCTGGTTCGGTGCTTCGGATCCGTTTCTCAATATATATCGACTCCGCGATGAAAATGCTGACCCGCTTGCATCTACGTCCTGGGTTCTGGTGTGGCGCAGCGAGGTCGTTATGAACAACTGTAACCCGAAATGGCGTCGCGAGACTCTGAGCGTCCAATCTCTTTGCAATGGAAACTTGTCGTTATTGCTCAAGATCGAGTGCATGGACTGGGAAAAAAGCGGGAAACATCAATTTATCGGCAGCTGTACTGTAAAGGCCGCAGTATTCGTGTCCGGAGAGCTCTGCAGCATGGAACTTATCAATCGCGACAGGCAAGCTAAGAAGGGAAAGAGATACACAAATTCAGGTGTCTTGGTTTTGGAACAGATCGAACACTACAAACGGCATACATTTGCAGAGTACCTGCGCGGGGGCTGCGAAGTTAGCTTGATCGTTGGCATCGACTACACAGCTTCAAATGGTAACTACTTGGACCCTACAAGTTTGCACCACATCGGAGCAAGTAGTCAAGGTCACATGAACGATTACCAATCTGCTATATCTGCGACTGGAGCGATTTTGGAGCCTTACGATTCCGATAAGCGTTTCCCGGTGTACGGTTTCGGTGGACTGGTTAATGGAGCCGTGAATCACTGCTTTCCGTTGACGTTCGATCCTTTGCAGCCGGAAGTGGAGGGTGTTGGAGGGATTTTGAGTGCGTACTATAATTCCCTCCAATTCGTGCAGCTGCATGGTCCGACTATGTTCGCACCTATTGTGCGCCAAGCAGCAGCTATTGCTCAAGCGTTCTCAGCGCCGGCCGAACAAGGTGGACATCTCAAGTACTTTGTGCTACTCATTATCACAGATGGGGCTATCATGGACATGCAGCAAACGATTGACGAGCTGGTGCAGGCTTCAACTTTTCCGTTGTCCATCGTGATTGTCGCGGTGGGCAACGCTAACTTCACGGCTATGAAAGCTCTTGATGCCGACGATAAGGTCTTGGTTGACTCGAGCGGGTGCAAAGCTATGCGTGATATGTAAGTTTTGTTTGTGGTTTTGTTGTCTGGTTCTTCGCAATGTATTGATGTTAATGATGCCTCCACAGTGTTCAGTTTGTCCCATTCAATCAATTCCGTCGCAATCCCGCAAGACTGGCCAAGGTTCGATTTTTGTAGATGAGTGTAGGGAATGGAATCATGGCGACTAACATGATTCTGCAAACTGTACAGGAAACACTTGCTGAGATTCCAACACAATTATTGCAGTACTACAAAGTGAAGGGTATCCAGCCTCGGACGCCTCTACAGCGCCAAGGAACCAGCTACTTGGCTCGTGGCGCCGTCAGTGGCAGAATGGCGAACGCACTGGATATGGAGGTATAGAACCATCGTTTCTCTCCAGATGGCGGGTGCTGACTGATGAACAGTTCTTGTCCATGCACAACAGACATACTAGTTCGTATATCCAGCTAATAAAGCCCGAATGGAAGATCCTGAATGTGACTGTGGTATGGAAAATGGTCGTGTCGTGATCTGCAATCTTCCAATCCATGCTATCTCAGCAGCAGGCAAAGACAATTTGTATGCCATCAACCCGGAGTACGGGCAAAGGCAAAAAAAACGTTGGACTTCGGTGTTCAGACTTTATCAGCTCACACAAAACGGCAGCTGATTAATTTGATATACTCACCGTAAACGACCGTCTTGACTATCGTCGAGCTAACGATTGCGGCTGGTGCAAAAGAGACTACAATGGTAGCGACACTAATAATGAATCTTTTTGTAGTCACTGTATTAGATTCTATTATTTGATTTTTCACCGTTCCTGACACGTCGGAATCTTGAGACAAATTCAAGGCTCTATTTATAAACTCCAAGCACTCTGCCTAAAATAACGATGTTGGACCTCACTGAGTTCCTCCTCTTCTCATTTTGTTGATGTGTAAAGTGAAGTAAAATTGATGACTTGTATGATAATGTGTACCAGACGCGTTTTGGCGTCGATACCAAAAGCAACTTGCTCCTTCCAACCCATACAACTTATTGGTAACGGTGTTGGTTACTGATACTAATGACCATATGTCATGGACGACACTGTGTGATAGTGTGTAACGATGGGATCGACTCATCGTTTTGTTACTAATATTATAGAGTCGATATCGATAGGCTTAGAGTAGTACAACGAGACGAACTAAGGACCTAGCTAGATGATAATTCACTTTCCATTTTACCTTCTTCTAAGCTCTCCCACCTCAACTCGCTCTTGGCTGTTGCCAAAAGTCAAAAGGTTATGAGCCCAACTACGCCGGATGCGGGCGACATACTCCGCGAAGATAACTATTTTGTGTGGGAGTTCGGCGCAAGGATGAGGCTGGCAAAGAAAGGGTTGCTAGATCATTTGGATGCTATGAAGACCCCAGGAAAAGGAGACGTAACTGCGTCAACTTGGGAAGTCAACGACATGAAGGCCTTCGAGATCGTGACAACAATGATCAGCAAGAATCTGCAGTCAATGGTGCGCACGGCAGAGACAACGGCAAAAGCATGGGACATACTGAAGACTTTCTTCCTGCGGCAAAGTATGCACAATCGTGTGCAGTTGCGGCGGCAACTACATGAGTTCAAGTTGGCCAAGGGAGGAAGCATCATGGATCACTTTCCGAAAGTCGACGAGCTGTGCATGACTATGCAAGCTGTGGGACAAGAGATCTCACAGGATGAGCATTTGGTCATCCTATTGGGTAGTCTAACGAGAGACTATGACCCTATCGTCAAGATAATTGAGAACATGCCCGGAATGACACTGTTTCACGCTAAGGAAATGCTGAGACGGGAGTACGATGGAATGGCGAGGACAGAACACCAAGAAATCGCACTGAAAAGTACGCACACTTCCAAGTACAAGAAAGGTCCGCGCAGACATATGGGGAGATCAAGTTCAAGAGGTGAAAAGTTTTCGGGAAGGTGTTACCGATGTAACAAATATGGGCACAAGCGTCAAGATTGCAAGGCTGAACAAGTGGAGACAGAGCGATCTGGAGAAGAGAGAGCATTTACTGCGTCAAGTCGGACGTCAGCTGGATGGTTATTGGACAGTGGGGCAAGCAGCCACATGTGTCCCGACAGAAATGAGTTTTCGAATTTAAACTCACTGACGGACCCGATCATGATCACCATAGCAGACGGCAGCGAAGTGGAAGCGCAAGGTGTTGGGACAGTGCGCGTGCAACTCAAGACTGGTGAAGTGATCAGGATCGAAGAAACGCTATGGGTGCCGGGCCTAGACCGAAGGCTACTGTCAATATCGGCATTGTCAAAGAGGGGTCTACAAGTGATCTTCTCAGATCTGAGCTGTCAGATCAGAAGTAACACGGAAGTCGTTGCCCAAATACCAAGACGAAACAAGATGTACGTCTTAGAGTGCAGTCCGGCTGAGGTAGCCAACGTTTGCGGAGAGACATCTCAAGAGCAAGAATCAAGTGACGGATCAGGAGCGGCTGATCTACAAGTGTGGCATGCAAGATTAGGTCACCTGTCAACGAAGATGCTCAAGGGTATGGCAGGTTGCGTCAATGGATTAAAGATCAAGAAGAATCAAGGCGTTGAAGATGATATCGAGATCTGCGAAGGGTGCATCATGGGTAAAGCAACCGTCAAGACGTTTCCGAAGTCACCATACGGACACGTGAAAACCAAGGAGGTGTTGCAGTTGGTCCACAGTGATGTCATGGGACCTATGGAATCGAAGTCTCGAGGAGGATCAAGATTTGTCGTGACTTTTATTGATGATTATTCGAGATATATAGTCGCATACTATATTGAGAACAAGTCGGAAGTGACGGATCGCTTTATAGAGTATAAGGCACTTATGGAGAATCAACTGTCCAAGAAGATCAAGTGTATCAGGACGGACAACGGGACGGAATACGTCAACAGACGTTTCTCCGGTGTATGTCGAAAATCTGGTATCATGCATCAGACGACGGTACCCTATTCGCCACAACAGAATGGGCTGGCCGAACGCATGAACAGGACACTGACAGAGCGGGCCAGAGCAATGCTCAGCCATATGCAAGTGGATAAAATTTGGTGGGCTGAGGCGATGAACACGGCAGTCTATGTGACAAACCGAGTTCCATGTGCTAGTCACCCGACTAAAACTCCATTTGAGTTCATCTTCGGGAAGAAGCCTGACCTCTCCGAGATGTGTGTATTTGGATCAAAGGGATATGCACATGTCGACAAGTCGAACAGGACCAAGATGACCAAGAAGGCGATTCGATGTATTTTTCTAGGTTACTCGGATCAAATCAAGGGGCTTCGAATATGGGATGAAGATGCCAAGAGGGTGACGCACACGAGATCGGCTAAATTCGATGAGAGACCACCACTTCAGTACGTGCAACGTTACAGCAGATCAAGTGACCAAGAGTTTCGCGCTGTTCATGACGAAGACACTGTTTCTATCGATTTAGAACAGCCACGAGTCACGAAAGACATGGACATAGCAATGGAGGACAGTCACAGTGTTCAAGAAGAGAGTCACATGCAAGACAGGCGTACAACAACGATGGCTCTACCATCAAGATGCAGTAGCAAGATGCCTGAACACGTGGGTTCCAATGCTGACGATCCAATGTTTGAAATTGATGATGTGACGATGATTGAAGAAGATCAAGAATCGGCTGAAGACGTGTCAAGACAAGGACAGATGGTGATACGACCAAGTCGACAGACAAGTATTCAAGCATCGCAAGAAACCGCGATGGTTCCACTAGAATCGGTTCAACATGGACAATCTCAAGCGTTAATACCAGTGAATGGTGCTGATGAGGACTTTTATGACGGCTCAGAAGTGTGTCAAGAAAAAGGCACAAAGAGACTACGTATTGGGTATGAGCAAGCATGTGCAGCGTTCGAGACCCCAACGACATACGAAGAAGCTCTTAAGTCACCTCGTCGTGATAATTGGTACAAGGCCATTCAAGCTGAGCTCAAGGCATTAGAGGAAAAGGACACCTGGACTGTTCAAACACAGCGTCCAAACCAGAAAGTGATTGGAACCAAGTGGGTGTTCGCACTCAAACGAAACGAGCTGGGTGAGATTATTCGATACAAGGCACGTCTTGTAGCACTTGGCTACAGGCAGACGTATGGAGTTGACTACATGGAGACATATTCACCTGTGGCAAACCTCAACTCAATACGGGTGTTTTTGGCGGTGTGCTGTCAAAAGGGGATGTTGATTCATCAATATGATGTCGACACTGCTTTTCTGTATGGCGTTTTGGAAGAAGAGGTATACGTATACCCTCCTCTGGGTGTTCGTGCAGAACATAATCAAGTGCTTAAGCTGAATCGCAGTCTGTATGGGCTGAAACAAGCGGCCGCTACATGGTACAAGACAATTTCGTGTGTGTTTGTGGAGATGGGGTTCTCTTCATGCGTGGCAGACTCATGCATTTTCGTCAAAGAGACCAAGGGCTCGTGGATTTACGCTGCATTATATGTGGACGACCTTCTAATTGGGGCTGAATCTACTGGAGTGATGGAAGATGTGGCAGCTCAACTATCAAGTCGTTTCCAGTTGAAGATACTAGGGGGTGTTCGATACGTTCTTGGAATCGAAGTCAAGTACCTGCGCAACAATCGACGTCTGAAGATCAGTCAAGGATCGTGTATATCAAGAATGGTCGAGAAATTTAATCAAGTTGATGCGAAAGCAGTGTCAAATCCAAGTGTTGAAGGGCAAGCGATGGTCAAGATGGACAAAGCTGACACAAGAATGAAGAATCGACCGTATCGATCGTTAGTGGGGTCGTTGTTGTATGTGGCAACAGGCACACGACCAGATATTGCGTATACAGTATGTCAGCTGAGTCGTCATTTGGAATTTCCACATGAAGAGCACTGGAATGCAGCGATTCGAGTGTTGCGATATCTGAAGACGACGCAGAGCAAAGGAATTTGTTATGAAGGAGTTTCAGGCAATCTTCAGCTGAGCGCGTACACCGATGCAGACTGGGCAAGTAACAAGTGGAATCGCAGATCGATTTCGGGAGTTTTTATCATGATTAATGGCGCACCTGTGATTTTCAAGTCGAAGATGCAGCAGAGCGTGGCACTGAGCACGGCAGAAGCAGAGTATATGGCTCTTTCTTTATGTGTGCAGGAGGTTCTGTGGACAAGAAGTCTACTCAAGGAGATGCAAGTGCAGATTAACTATGCTGTCAAGATTCACGAAGACAACCAGAGTGCAATCGCTATCGCTAAGAACGACGGCTATCAAAGTCGAGCGAAACATATCGACATCAGATACCATTTTGTGCGCGAACAGGTGAAAGACAAGATTATCGACCTGCAGTATACTGAAACCAAGTCACAGCTGGCAGATTTTCTGACCAAACCGATTTCGACAAAGAAGTTCGAGTCGCTGCTGGACAAGGCCAGGATCAGAGACTTCTAGTCGAGGGGGAGTATTGGTAACGGTGTTGGTTACTGATACTAATGACCATATGTCATGGACGACACTGTGTGATAGTGTGTAACGATGGGATCGACTCATCGTTTTGTTACTAATATTATAGAGTCGATATCGATAGGCTTAGAGTAGTACAACGAGACGAACTAAGGACCTAGCTAGATGATAATTCACTTTCCATTTTACCTTCTTCTAAGCTCTCCCACCTCAACTCGCTCTTGGCTGTTGCCAAAAGTCAAAACAACTACGGGATGGCACAACCTGTCAACTCGTTCCCTAACTGGCCGCAACTTCTGGTGTCAACCCGCATTTCAACACGTACCGTTCACGCAGTCAAAGACTACTCCGTTCAAGAATGTCTATACTATATGATGCTTGTTGTGCCAACCCTCCGGTAATTAGCCCCAGTTTGAGAGAGGTGGTCTACATTCACCCCTCTAATTCCATGTTCAATACCGAATTGCACACATTTTGATTCCCTAATTACGAGCTGCTAAACAAGTGAACAGAGTCAAGCTCACACTTGCTACTCTGTTCTATACATGACTGCAAGTCTTAGCTACTATCACCTCACCCTGCCGCAAACCCACGTTATACCTCCGACCCTCACAATGCAATTTTGGTGAAATGCCTAAACCTTTCATAGGTAGCTGATCCCTGCGAAGAAAATTGAGCTCGCGATTATACTATTTAAAAGGAACTGGCACGGGTGGCCTCAAACAGTTTAGGAGCGCGAATTTGGTATATCGAGTTTGATGAAGCACGTGTATGGCCACCAAGCCGAATAGCAAGCGATATCACTGGAAAAGACCACCTGGCGGAGTGGGCGCGACGCGTAAGACGAGGCGTCTGTACAATTTTATGCCTGGGTAGAATACTGCCTTTCGACCGAGTTTTGGGTTGGTGTCCTTGACATTAAACCCGCAGCTACGCCTAGCTTTGTATTTCTTCCGGCTATGACCATATGCATTTTCACCTACCGAAGTATGAGAAACAGTTTGGTGCATGCATAGTACGTACCAGCTAGTAACTATCTATCCCATCTCAGTGTGTTTGGTCATTTGAATTCACCGGAATAGAAAAGTCTTTTGACTTGGCCAACGGCAACGGCAACTTTGTCGCGGACTTGTCTCCCCACTAACGCCGTCTTCGCTACGGCCGAACGCGCGTTGTTAAATCCTGGACGTCCTTATCAATTCGATGTGCCACCCTCGTGGCGTACCTAAACAAGTCTCGTTTAAACTACAATTGCATCTCTATCGAGATTTTGGCTCCGTTGATAATGTACGAATTCGCTTACTTCAACAACTTAGCCAATTATGTAGCGGGGCTACTTAGCGCTCCATGACCGAGGGAGTCTTAGACTTAAAGATTCTCTTAGTTGTAACAAACAAACAATGAAGTTCATTCGTTCAAGCGCACAAGATTAACAATCCTGGTTCCAAAGGGACTGCGATTCACAGAATCACACTAACTAGTCACTACTAGTTAAACAAGAGTAAAGGCCTTGACAAGGCTAACACTTTTACAGCACACTGCGCCTTCACTAGGCACTAGCGTATGACGATTCGAAATGGGAACTGAACTTGATTTATTCTTCAACTACGGTAATACAACCCTAAAATCTTGTCTGACTGACTTCTATATGTTGACCCTATGACAGAAGTCTAATTCCTTATCCCTACCCGATAAGCTGCAGTATTAACAAAAGTACGAGGTACCAAGACCGTTCCACTCACATATACCGATCTTTACTTGGTGTGGACACACTACACAACCGGTTCAAATAACCGCGTGTAACTCCATTATACCCCGCCCACCAAATTGTCGACACCTTTGTGTCAACAATTCCTTTACTGCGCTTTGAGGTCTGTCAAAGCTCCTGATCCTTGACTATCATGTTCACAACACATCTCAAAATGACTGAGCCATAGCCTTCGTCCAACACCCTTGATAAATATCTCGAAGAGGGTATGGTGGACTATGAGAGTGACACCGTCGCGTCGAGTGTCTATGAACACCCTCCAAATACGCCATTGTCGCGTGACACCACACGCATTGCGCCAAATCCATTCGTGGAACGCGATGAGGTACCTTCACCCATTACAAAGAGTGCATCTGTCGACCCTGCGTTGGGTGTGTTGCACAACACACTTGATGAAGATCAGGCTTAATATCTTCAGTCGGTCGATGACCACAGGTGCCAAGCACAATGTGTAGCCACAGCGCGTGCTCACAGTGGTTACCGCTTCACGCCACCGAGGGTGGATGATAGCGTTCGTCACTGTCGGGCAGTCACTCACAACATGTATCACGGGACCCAAGGCTGTCACAGCCACAACCCTAGCGAGGAGGGAGGCTCTGAGAGAGATATCTGGGGGGCGAGTGTGTGACCGTCCAAGAGTGCCTTGACAGGCTAAGTCTGTAAAAAGGTGCATCACTGTTCACCGTGCGGACAATACCCATCGTTCTCTTTCCTGGTGAGACAGAGGAGAAATAGTGAAGTCGCTTTCACGCGTTAGGCTAACCGAGCTCGCCGTCTGCCAATCTTTTCGAATCTCCAAGAGTGCGCCTCCACTTGCCGACGTTCGGCTCTTACGAAATATGTACTTTGATTTCGCAAAAAAAAAGGCCTAAGATCAACTGCAACCGTTTTATCGCACCCGATAAGCTGCGGCAGCTTAGGGCCCGCATATCAGTGCAACTGCTGCAGCTGCAGTCCCCTCCACTCCCGCACCGACTAGTGGGAAGAGGTATGGGTCGACTGACCCTGAATACGACGTTCAAAAACGTCAACGGCGTATAGACTATCCTGCCGCAGTGTCAAATCGTTCTTCCATGAGTTCTCCGACTCCGGGTACTTCTGTCACTGTACCAAGCACTGGTACTGACCGTCGCGACGATATCGCTGCAGCATTCGTTTAATATGGTACTGTTGATCCCTTTGCTCGTCGACGAGAGCAGACGGTGGACGATGAAGCTCGACGCGTCGTCGACGAGTTAGTGAACGAGTGCATGGTCTTCGTGAATGAGTGGAGCGTCTTGGAGGGCAACTGGATCTTCTCTTGAGAGTTCCTTGACTTGTGGCATCGCCACCACTTTCAGCACAAGCGCCTCGTAATCCACCAGCGACGGATCAAGATAAGGCTTGGGAAAGCCGACGTAAAACACCGGGTGCGTTCGCATCTTGCGTGGGAAGCTCAGCGTGTACGGTAGGCCCTTCTTGTCCACAACCGTAAACGCCTAAATGAAGTGAGGACGCACCTTGTTCCCGCAGAACGCTGATACCACCTTGGTAGGTAGTTTCCTTAGCGTTAAGTAAGACTAGGTATCCAACTTCAAAACTCTCATTACACTTTCTGCCGTTTACATCAGCTTGTAACTTCTGTTTGTCCTGACTAGCAGCACTTGTATCACGTACATGTCGTAACGTATTCAATCGCGTAGCGAGAAACTCGATCACCTGTTTCTGAACAGTATTAGGGCTGACATCAGCAAGCCGATCGGCTATTCCTCCCCCACCAAGCCCAGAACCACGTAAGGGTAGCGTTCATGGAAACACGTGGGTGAGTGAGACCGCTCACGTAGAATAGAGTAAATCCCATAGATGCATGAACAGCGTTGTTTAACGCAAACTCGACCACAGGGAGCACAGAGCTCCAACGCCAAGTCGTATCAGCACAACCACTGCACAAAATGTCACCAATGACACGGTTGACACGTTCATTTTTTTATCGGTCTGCGGATGATCCGCTGTGGACATGTCCAACCTGGTGCCTAGCACCTTGAAGATGGAAGTACAAAACTTTGGTGAAACGAGGATAGCGATCAGAGACAATTACCAGTGGGTGTCCGTGTTGTCGAACCACGCGATTAATGAACCGCAAAGCAGTGCTTTCATTATCAATTAAATCTGGCACAGACGCTAAGTGAGCATCTTGCTCAAATGATCATCCAGACGACAGAATCAGCGTTTCCTTCCAGTCCTTTCGGTAGGCCAAACACGAACTCCACGCCGATGTACTCTCAGCACCTAGACGGCACAGGCAAACTAGCCAGAGGTGCATTCCCATGTGACGAGGATTTGACCCGTTGGCACGTCTCACATGTACGCACATAATCGCTTGTCTATTTATAGAGTTTGATCCACCAATGACGCTGTCTAATAAATTTATTGGTCTTCTCACGACCAAGATGACCGTTAATATCAGTTTCGTGTGCCTCATAGAGGATAAGATACTTCAAGTGCCCATCATGAGGACGAACAATGCAAGGCACATCCTCAACACCCGTGCAATAGCACAACACACCCACCATCGATGATATGTTAATGTAGACTCGCACGTAAACGTGCCGACGATTTGATGTCCGAATCGTGAAACGTCTTGATTCCGAGAGCATGTAGCAATTCTACACATTGCTCACCACGTGCATTTTTCAAACGAACTAAATCCACAAAATGGAGGACGAAAGAGTCGTAACATGATCAAGATAATAGTCAAGTCTGCGTGGCAACACATCAGCCAAAGCATTTTGCTTGCCCGGCTTATACTTGACCTCGAAGTTGCTCCCAGCAAAGAATGAAAGTCAACGAGCCAAACATTGTGAGAGGTGAGGTGACTGTGTCGCAGTGCGTAATGAAGCATGATCTGTGAGGATCACAAAAGGATATGAGCCAAGGAGATGGACTCTGAACATGACAGAATCATACTTCATAGCGAGTAACTCTTTTTCGTGAACTGAATAGTTTTTCTTTGCAGTCTTTAGCTGACGAGATTCGTACGCAATGACGCGCTCATATCCATCGACATCTGTCTGCAATAATGCACAACCGATAGAAAAATAAGACGTGTCACAGACGACACTAAAAGGCCACTCAGGGTCAGGCTAAGCCGAAACTGGAGCACAAAGAAGACTTTCCTATACAGCTTAAAATTTTGATTATAAACTACGTCCCAACACCAAACTGCATCCTTCTTGAGAAAGTTGAATGAATGGTCTTGCCATGTAAGCGTAGTTTGCACTGTACCTGTGCAGGTAGTTATCAAGGTCGAGCCATTTACGGAGTCCTTTTAGTTTGAAGGAATTGGCCAGTCAACAATTGACTTTACCTTAGCGGGATCCCTCAAAAGCCATGCTGCCCGATGAATCACCCGAAAAAGGAAATTTATTCTGCCTTTAAATGCATTTTGATGCATTTGCATACATCTTGTTCGTGCGCATGCACTCGAGCACCGCTCGTAAATGGTTAATGCGATTGTTCACGTCTGATCTACCATGGCGTCTGATCTACCATGGTCTGCACGGCTATGCACAAAGATGCCATAGAAATAGTTTTGTGTATATCCTCGGTGAGGTCGGAACGATTGCGTCACAAGACAGTTAAATTTAGCCGGGGCATTGGATAGTCCTTGAGGCATGACAAGCCACTCCCAAGAATACCGCTTGAAGTGCTAACCGCTGTGAGCGGAATATCACTCGCTCGCATAAACAATTGATCATGCGCATCGACCAAGTCGAGTGCATTAAACATGTTAGAACCTACCAGAGCTCTGAAGAACATCCTTTCTAGGGATAGGCGTCTTGGCCGGTTTAGTGGCTGCGTTAAGCTTATTGTAAAAATGCAAGAGCGCAACGTGCCATTTGGATTCCTGACACACAATGTCGGTGTCGAGTGCGGAGACTTGCTCTCACGCACTGTGCCAACCGCGTGCTTTGCACGAAATAACTCGTTAATGGCGTCAAGCTGCTGCTTATGTAGGTGCCATTGCCGTGTCACACAGTATTTAGTTTCAGGAATCAGGTCAATTTCATGATGTACGCATTGATCAGGAGGCAGAGTGGAAGGTGTATCATGACACACCACAATTTGAAACTCCTTCACCCGATGATAAACGGGTCTTTAGGATCTTCAAGATCGATGACTGACTTCGAGCACTCAGTGCCGCCTTTGTGTCTTCCAAGACAGCCTCGTCAAGAAGTGACGACGAGTTCAACTCACTACCGGATCTAATGACCACCACTTTAGATAAGTCCCTCGACTTCAAGGTCAGGCTAAACTTATCTACAGACAATTCGTATGGCTCTAACAGATGTTTCAACGAGAATAAAGTCTCAAGACTCACTGAACCGTCTACATGACCGGTCTCTCCGTTTACGAGTGTAAAAATGCTGCTAACTAGTATCACTCGGTGACGTAACAGACGCCTTGCGCTGCATGACATCACTCTGGCGTTGCTGTCATCTCTGTGACGAGACTAAACGTCTTAAAAAGACTGGAACTTTCTCTTCCCCAAGGTTGATATCATGATCATCCTAATTGATCTGTAGAAGATACGGTGTCATTACTGACACCCAATTTACCAGTGTCCCCAAGATTGACATGACGGTCAATCTTAAGGTGCTCATTACCAGAGTCGATATATCTACCGACATTCGGGACTATACCGCTCCCAAGGTTTTGGAGCGCGTCAATCTTAATTTGCCCTATATCAGGGACGATGTCATTTGCAACATCCGGGACTATACCTCCCCCAAGGTGACGGGGTGCGTCAATCTTAGTTTGCACATTACTAGGGCCGATGTCATTGCCTACATCTGTAACTACACTATCCCCGAGGTTTAAAACTGCGTCTAACCTTTGTGATCTACTTCAATTCCGGTGTCATTGCCGACATCGGGTGATGATTCACTTACAGTGAGAATACCACCCAGTGGGTACTTACGTGCCAATTCACGCTCATCAAAAGAGCGTTGCCCTTGATGAATTTGTGTTTCACCAAAAATGTCTTGACTGACATTCAGTGTGTCGCAATCACGGCCAACATCACTCAGTGGGTACTTATGTGTCACCCCACGCTCACCAGATCATTTCAACCCATGATGACTTATGAATAGGCCAACAATGCATTCAGCAATCAGCTATTCGCTATCACAACAGGTATCAATCGACGTGGTATGTGCCGTCTTACTAACAGTCAACGAACTTGGCTCGCAACTAATGTTTTTGACGTCGTCCAAAACAATGAGTTCGGACATATCGATTTCCATCACACGGCCTATTCCAGTCAGTGGCTCGCGCTACTAGAGTTTATGTCTCCTGTCCCAGTAGGTGGCTCGCGCTACTAGCGTTTCTATCTCCTAGAAGAGGTGGGTTCATGAATCTCCAAAGATCTACTAGGAAAAGTGCGCGTTGCGCAAAATGTCTTCGGCATCCAATCAATCCATGGCTCATGGCGTTCTATCCAGGCCATAACTAAATCAGATTGTACCTTTCTTCCAAGTCAAGGACTAGACAGCGTTCGATACTGTCAAAGTCCAAAATCTTCGCGCCTAAGTTCATAGGAACTTTGGGCACAGTGACCAACGCTCCTGTCGCCAATCAAACAGTGACAACTTGTTCTTTCGCACTTTCAGCGTCTCGGCATACTGCGGACTTCCTTCCAGGGAAAACGTCAGACGTAATTTCCCAACGCCCCGGAGTCGATCAATATCGACCATGGCTTATCTAAGCCTTTCACAGTTGCTCTCGCAACTAACAAGCCTGGGTTGTACGCATTCTTCGTGACATTGTGCACGAAGTCACTTGGGGCTAGGCACTGTTCTCCATCACTCCCAGAGGTACAACAGAGCCTAAAATTTCCCCAGCAGGGCGCCTCGCACTACTGGGACTCGACGCTCTGCCGCGCCTTACCAACTCGTTGGTTAGCGATGGGAGGTTGGCTTGTATGAGTCTGTCTGGTCATTCTTAAAGAAGAATTGGGACGAAGAGTGATGCTTCCGCACGTAACACTTTAACTGTTCGTCAGCATAGAGCTCAGCTTTTCCTCCCTCTCAGCGAGACTAAGGTTCATGAGTTCTGCCCTATCCACGATGTGAGTTTTGCTGGAAGAGTTTGATTGAAACCCATAAGTCCCATTACGGGCAGCTTTAAAGTTAAATTCTGCGTTCAGCGCCATGTCCACTGAACCTTAAATGTTAAGGGTTGTGCACGAAAAACTCCGGTTCTAGCAACGCCAGTGCGAAGACCCTCCATAAAAATAGTTGCCAAAACCAAAACCGTCTCAGGTAAAGGGTCAAGTTGCATGACAGCTATGAGATCTCGCAACTCCTGGATGTAATCGACTAAGTGCATTTTACCCTGGCGTATTGGCAGGAAACGTGATCGCACGCGATGTACCTGATTAGGTGGGGTAAATACCCGATATAGTTGATGTTACAGTATGTTTCATGTGGACAAAGCCTTTTCTATCGAGGTGTCAGAATTGAATGCCTACTCCCTGTCTCGACCACCTAACTTCGATAGGGTCAGGCCCACCTTTTGCTGCTCTGACTGCAACAGGGCCGAGCTGATGGCAACCTCCGTCTCTAGAACCCACAAAAAGACTATTTGTCCTTTTTCCTCTTAGAAGGCTTAACACTTAAGACCAAAGGGCGAGTCCTTGAATCAGTGTCCAGCATCGGAACATACTGAGTGGGCATGGCAGATACCAAATGGTCATGGACCTATCCGATCAAAGTGGACCTAAAGTTCGAGAAAGCCTCGAGACGTGCAAAAGTGCGTCCGGGCCCTGCGACGCTACAAGAGCCACTTGCTCGCGCCCGATCAATCATTACACTTCTCAAGCGTGATCTACTGGGCCTCAGAGAGACCATGGCCGTCTCCATCCTCGCAGAGGAATCAGTATGTGAAGACTCGGGTCTAGATTGACTACAAGTGCTACCGAGTGTAGCGGATCTACTTAGTGCTCCTAAATAGAGGAAGTTTTAGACTCAGAGAGTCACTTAGATATATTAACCTATCAACGACGAACAGTCGTTCAAGCGTACAATCTTAACAATCCCGGTCCAAAAAGGACTACGATTCACAAAATCACACACAAACTAGTCACTACTAGTTAAACAAGAGTATACGCCTTGACAATGCTAACACTTTTACAACACACTACGCCTTGACTAGGCAATTGTGTTCAGAAATTCAATTGGAGAACCTTTTTACAAGACAGAAAACTGAGTCCATGGCTCGCTCTCTATAAATTTGGCCAAGCAAGTGATAATGAAGAGTACCGTCACGGAAATGTGGGAGGAACTCTTATCAATTTATGAGAGCAAGTCGAACCCTGCGACGACTGCACAAAAGATATACAGGATACAGGACGAATTACACCGAACTAATCTGCGAGGAGTGGAATGTCCACACACTTACATACACTATTTGCAATCGGGACTCATCTGGCGAATTTGGGTGCTCCCATGAACGACCTGCAAATGGCGAATCGTATGTTGCGAAGTCTACCTTTGCAGATGTGTTACATGAGTTACGCCGAAAGGTGGTGATTAGCTTTAATATGGCAAAGTTCACGCCAGAGCTTCTTCTCAAAATGATTCTCACCGCAGATGAAAGAAATAAAGACGGGGAGGGAAATATATTCGGTAAGAGACAACACAAGAAAGAGCATAGCTCACACGACATGAGTGGGCGTGTCAAGAATGACAAGAATATAAGCACGAAGAGTGGAATTAGTGTCTGTTTCCATTGTGGTGGAAACCATTTTAAACTCGATTGTCCCGACTTGGAAGGAAAGAGGACAGCGGGTTCAACCATGCTCGATCCGGAGACCCGGTAAAGGCAGATCAATTTGAGGGGCATAAACTTACACATCATCAGGGTGGTACAAAGCGTGAAGTTACGCTTGGCAAAGTAACCAAGCTTAAACTACTGGAAAGATTGATGAATTTAGTCTTTGGCATTTCAACACAGGATCTAATTCTCATATGACAGCGTGCAAAGATTACTTTAAGACGTTAAAAAGCATTACAGACAGCGAATGGTACCCAAGGATCTCGGGATTCGCAGATGGTGTTGATGCTGAAGCAGAAGACTTTGGCACTATATTTCTCGCTATCGAGCTCAATGTAAAATGGTCCACTTCATGGTCGAAGATGTGTTTTTATGTGCCAAAAGCAGGATGGAACGTCTTTTCGCCCGGATTAGCACTTGATACTGCGGACATTCCCCTTTCCTCGCAGGTTAGTTCGGTGTAATTTGTCCTGCAGCCTGTACACCTTTTGTGCAGTCATCGTAGGGTTCGAATTACCCTCATAAATTAATACGAGTTTCTCCCACATATCCGTGCCGGTACTCTTCATCATCACTTGATTGGTCAGCTTCATAGAGTACTAGCCTTGGATTAAGATTTTTATTTTTAGCATGCTCCTTCTTGAAATTTCCTTTTTCTTCGTCATTCCAGCCGCTATCCAAACGTTCTTGGCCGATGGTAACTTGATCCAACAAGCTTTCTTTAAATGCGGCCATCATTGCTTGCTTGTAGAAAATCCAATCGTCTCCATTTCAGTTTATGGGAGTTTCGTTGGAGCCATTTTTAGATCCTCTTCCATCTGCGTCGCTGCTAGATCTCGAAGAATTCATGTTTGATCACGTGTGCCGCGATGGTCGTGCAGCATTGCGTGATCGATTTGTCCTTGGGCTCACAACCCAGCAGAAATCGAACCACGGCAACACTCACAAACAACTGTTTTAATATAAGGTAACTTTGGAACTGACGAGGATCAGTACTCAACTAGACATACCTGTTTCTTGCTATACTTCATTCTTTCTAGCTATTCGCCTTGTCGCGTTCACTTCCTTTTAGATATGTTCGTCCTGTCTCTTGGTCCTGTCGCTTCGTCCTCCTTTCTCACTCCAGTAGCTTCAACGTCTTCAACTTGCACCTCAGAGTAGATGAGATTTTCAATAAGCCCCTTCACCCTCCAAAGTTACTCCGTCGCTTGTATAGTTTTTTTTGGTCAGTCCAATCCTTGCACTAAGCTTCTCGAGTTTCGCACAAGTCAGTGGCTTATTCTTCAGGTCAGAGCGGTAATTTTATGTCTTGACCTTCCACAAGTCCACGGCCCTTTTTGCTACTTGGTCCCTGACATTGTGCCAGCGGAGCTCGATGTGTCTCGTTCTTCGGCTGTAGGTTGGGTTTGTTGCCATAACATAGGCAGCTTAGTCATCAATTCTTACATGGAAAGTAATCTGAATCTTGAGGAAGACTTGTATCAGCATTTTTCTTTAAACTTGCTCTTCCATTCATGCCTCGTATGCCGCAACGTATTCTGCCTCCGCTGTAGACTAGGCTACAATGCTCTTTCGCCGACAAGCCCATGAGATCGCACCTCCGGCGAGGCAGTGTACAAAACTGGTGATACTTTCGCGCGCATCCGGATTGTTGCTCCAATCTGAATCGCAGTAGCCATCGAGTGTCCGACTCGGCTCTTGCCTAATCATCTTGGGGCAAGAATACACGATGCCTTTACTTTTTGTGCCAATCAAAAACTGTAGTACCCGTTTAGCAGCATTAAAATGTTGCTGCGTCGGGTTTTGCACATAGCGACTCATCTGTCCAAAGCAGTATGCAAGGTATGGTCTGGTACATGTTGTCATGTACATGAGTGAACTAATCAGCTCGCGATATGGAAATTTCTTGCCACTTATAGGGGCTTGCTTTCGCCGATCCTTGTTATTTTCCTTTCCAGACTATCTCATGTTTGTCTCCATTGGTACGAGCTCGGGTGCGCGTCTTGAAAATGATATCGTTTAAGTATATCCTCACAGTGTCTTGTCTGGTGGATCTTGACCGCACCATTTGTTTGCTCCACCTCAACATCCAAGTATGAGCTTATTAGACCCTGGTTCTTTAATTCGTATATCTTGTCAAGCTGCTCAAACATCCTGTTCTCGAGCTCGGCTTCATTGGCGACACAAAGGATGTCGTCCACGTACAAAAGTACCATAGCGGATACACCATTGTAGGAATAAAAGTAGAGACATGGTTCTGTCGCACACTGGGTAAATCCAAATTCATTGAACATACGATATGCTTCCATATTCCACTCACGTCTAAAATGACTAAGGCCCTACAATGCCTTGTCAATAATGTAATTGTGACCTTCCTCAGTACAACGGTAGCTTTCGACCCCTACCAGACACTGCTTTATGTTCAACTCCACATCGAGGTACGCAGTATTTATGTAACCTTGATACGCCGTAAAGTTTGATAGCACAGACACGGCAGCAAACATCCTGAACGTGGCCATCCGTGCCACGGGCGAAAAGGTTTCCCTGAAATCAATTCACGGACGCTGTTCATCGCCTCGTGCGACAATTCGTGCCCGATATCTCACTAAATATTCATAATGGTCCGTCAAAACATTAAAGGCCCACACGGTCCTAATCGTATGCTGTCCTCTTGGCATGTCTGATTGTGGAATTTTCCTGAGAAATTCTTTTACTTTTAATACAGACATTTTTGCATCCATGGCCCCACGCCACGATGTTGCTTGTTTTAAACGTGTCGCTTGGCGATAGCTCTTAGAGATTTTTTAATCCTTCTCACGTAAACCTTGCCGTCCTAGGTAGTTTGCATGCATTTCGCGAAAGACAAAATGCACCTTCAAGTCTTCACAGATGTCAAATTCACATTATCTTGCTCATTGTTGATGCAGTTACAATTATCTAAGATCCTATGAGTCGCTTCACATCCATCTTAGCACGCTTTCCTTCACGCGTTCTCCGAGCCCCAACAACTCGTGGACTTCGATGTCCAATAATTTGATCTAAGGCAAGTGCCTTCTACCGAATTGCTACCGGGTACACAATGAGTTCTCTCGCATAACTAAAGTCGAACAGACAGTCATAATCTTAAACATACATACGTCTTTAAAGTTAAAAGCCGTCTATCGTGACTGGATCGATGATGTGGCTTATTGAGTCAACCTCCGTCACAATTTCCCGCTGTTTACCTGCTGAGTCACTTTCAAAGTCACGTTCACTGACGACGTCTCCAGCATCGGGAAGTTCGGTCGCGTTCAAAACTTCATCATCTTCTTCTAACTTGTCATCGTCGTCATCATCCGGGATAGAAGCATGTAAATTGTCTGGTGTATCAGATTTGCTGCCAGTCGTATTATCCCCATCCCGATTAGGTTCAGGCACGCAACGGTTTTGCAGTATCTCTTCCCGCATTTTTTCCGTTCTTTTTTTTAATCAGTTCATCTTGTAAGGCCACCGTTTGGACTACGCGTACCGTTATAGGTTGGACGACGTTTCCCATTCTCCTTCTGCCCTCTCTCGATCATTGCGTGGAAATAGTTCATCCAGATCACCAGAGGCAAAACTTGCTGCTTTTGATACGTCGGTTTTACATAATACTTCCTGTTGCGGTGGGATTTTGACATCACTGTCAATGTCACTTAATTCAAATGGCTCCTTCGTGGTGTCACACTCAGCTCGCTGTGATAACATATCGATATCGCTAGATCCATACAGCTCTGCAACTGCGTTAGTTTCAGCGGCTTGAGTTAGTTCGATGTGTTCATCCACAACAGTCGCATCACTGTCACTAACATTAATCTCGCTCATATCGGTGGATTCACCGAGCGGCAGCAGCCAGTTATTAACTATCGATGCGTAAGTAGACTCGTATCGATCATGAGCGTAATTGATTTATTCGTTTCACGTCTGAAACAAACCCTTCTTGTGCTAAGTCGGAAAGTATACATGAAAACCCACAACGTCTTCGCGGTACCAAAGCAGGAATCTAAGATTGCACTTCATGTCCAGATTCTTCCTTTGTGTACTGGAACATGGCAATATCAAAGAGAACAAAATGCTTGCACATGATGGATGTGTGGTTTACAGCCGATAATACTCTCATACGGTCTACAACCTGCACCTTTATAGTATATACGTTTCTTAACGTGTATAGTGTTTTTATAGCATGTACTCAAATTGACTTTGGGAGTCCAGACTGAGTCATCTTTGTCTTGAAAATTCCAATTAACGTTTGGTATGTCCGCTTAATTAAATTGATCTGCGAAGCGTGTGGCCCTACTTTAGTGTGAATGATACCATGGGTAGTATACCTTGCCTCGATAGTATTATTACAGAATTCTTGTCCTTTGTCTGTCAAGACCTGATTCACCAAATGCCTTATTTCCGTGTCATATTGACGTTTTGCCCAGTTGATGTAACTCTTCATATGACCATTTACTTCACCTTCAGTCTTTGATTCCAATAGGTACGTCCTTACGTAACGCGAGTACCTATCCATAATGACAAAAAATGCGGAGTACAATGATCCATTGTGGACCCCTGGAACAGTAGATCAGCAAATATCACCTCGTTGACTTGCATGATCATTCTCTCGATAGATTTTATAAAATGTCTATGTCTTTGCTTCCCTAAGTAACAGTCAGTGCCCTTAATTTTACCACGCAGCTTAAGTATAATGCCTTTCGCTAGCCCTTGATCAGCCATAAGCCTAATGTACTCCGAGCAGATGTGCCCAAAACGCTTGTGTCAAATGTCGATGTCATCAACACTATCCGGACCGGTAAAGTTTGCAAATATTTGTTTCCGTTGCCACATGATTCTTGGTCTTAGTGATAACTCTGATATTTTGAGTCTTAAAAGTCCAGAGGAGTTCGTCATACTGTGTTCGAATGACGTCCGATCCATCCCTTTGCAGACCAAATGACTTTGTTTTGTTACCCCAAGTCATTCAAAAACCTTGATCAAGTGCTAATCCGGGCGAAGATTTATTCTTTAACTACGGTATTAAAACCCTAAACTCTTGTCGGACTGACTTCTACATTGCAACCCTATGACAGAAGTCTTATCCCTTACCCCTACCCGGTAATGTGCGGTATTACCGTAAGTACGTAGTACCAAGACTGTACCACTCAGATTTACTGATCTTTAATTGGTGTGGACACACAACATAATCGGTTTAATGAACCTGTGTAATTAATTAGTTTACATATAGCCTCCCATAGATCCTGCGACTGCAACGGTGTACCCTTGAGTGCGAGCCATACCACCCACGAAGACACGAAGATATTTGTAGGTTTCATAGGTCTGTTCTAGTGGGGTGTGCATGCATTAATGAATATCAAGATTATTTGTGATCTGCCTTGAAATAATATCATTAATTTTTAGCTTGAGTAAATTTCAGTCATGTTGGCCAAAAATAAGCTGCCACTGAAGAAGGTGTCCGTTACAAGTGGTCTGCGGTCGATAACGCTATCCATATAAAGGCGTTCATTTAACAAGGCGTTTAGTTAGCAGTTTTAAGGCGTTTATTTATTATTTCCCTAAATTAGTACATTTGTAGTTAGCACAATTTGTAAATCCAAATAAAATGTGCACGAACTCTGACAAGAGATTTGCTTGAACAAGTCTTGACAAGACACAATTTTATATACATCTGCATATGTACCAGAAGGCTTGTTCGATAGTATTAGGTTCACATATTGTAATATACTTGAAGGTTGAGCATATGTATTTACAAGTGCATTTGTACAAGATTCACATGGCATTATCTGTAAATTGACAAACATTCAAAAGTACTTGTATGAATAGAGTTTGTTTAATTATTACTCGAGTTCTGATGAGAGCGAAAATGATCACCCATGGTTGTTGTTTACCTCCAGCAACTACGTCTTTGATAAAGGGAGTGAATAACCCTTTCTTCTCGTCCTTTCTCTTCTGCTTTTTTGTGACATTATAATAATGCTGAAGAAGAGGATACACAATAATGATGCTGATGCTGAGTAGGATATTTCTCTAGGTCTACATATGTTTACTCGACATTTTAGCAAGCAAATTGTCCTCAAATGTAGTGGAGCTACAGAGCTTTACATCATAGGAAGAGTTACGGCATAAGAATTCACATCGCTCAACATAACTAAGTTCCTAGAAGTTTAAAGAGTCCTTAGTTTTTATTACAAAAAAAAAGACTCGAAGAGTTCTTAAGATCGGAGATCTTCTGGTCCTATTTTATGAAGCTAACGACGGCTCTAGTTATCGTATGCACAATGTGATCTCAATTGTACGCCTTGATCTGGCTCTTACTCGTAACGATCTACTGATGTTACGCGATGAGCCTGTTACATGTAACTAATCTTGATGCTAGTGAATTCAATTATATTCATCAAGGTTTTTAACGCTCGTGAATATTACCATAAGGGGTAATATTCCGAAGCAATCACCTATTGGCTGATATAGAATATCACAATAGCGAGCTCTATCGGTCCAATCAACGTCGGACGCACGCAATGAGTGGTGATCAAAAATTTAGCACACATTTTGTAGATAGACACAATTAAGTTAGGGCTAAACATAGGTACATGTTTTTAGGACATAATTATTTTTAATACAGTTTAACTTTCTACTCCTATGGAACGCGTCGTTCATTAGCTAGCCTTCCTCTGCACGTACGGTGTACATGAAGCGACGTGCAACGCTTCCTACACTGTTGTCAGTGTAATTTTACCGGCACTGAAGCAGTACTAGTGAACAGTGCCCCGTTTCAACTGACGTCTGAACATCGACACGTGTCTATATAACATCAAATGGGGAACTGAATATTTGTTTCTTCGTTTGATCGGTAGTAAACCTCATGCAACTACATAATGCTAAAGCTAAACTATCTGCACAGTGATCTTCAGCCTACTAAAGTTTGATGGATGGAACGTCACCCTGTTATCAATGCATGACAGAGGTTATTGACCACATCAATGATCACATAGAAAATTCGGGATTGTATGTCATGCGTACTAGTTACATCTCTTAGGGGGGGTAACAGTCGTGTGCCTCCGTTACATCAAACCATCTTTATATTATCACGATTAATGCTATAATTCTTGTAACACGTTTATTTCGAGTTAGCTGCTCTTGAGATCGCATGTCTTCTATCACACTTTCATCATGAGCGTCGCCATCGCCAAATCGCTGCTACTGTTAATGAATAGATGATTGTAAAGACTGAACTCTTTTATCGTAAAATTTTCTTGATAATGTCGCATTTAGTTGTGTACGGCTCTCAGGAGCAGATTAGATAAGAATGAAACCCGATGGGTGTGAAGACAATAGACAATAGCTGTAACAGGGTACCCCGTGTCTTGGACACACGGGTGATATCCCACTGAAAGAGATATAGAATATCTGATCGGTTTGTAGAGGCTGAAAGGTGTCAGCCACTAGATTGAAGAGATCTTAGTTGTACTAACGTAGATTAAGATATTCTTTAGGTGTAAATGTAAATAAATTTCAGTTCACCTTTTGATCTTAAAGACACGGGCCTTGCGAGGCGTCTTTGGTCGTTGATCGCTGATCACTAAGAGTTAGCAACACCTCCCTGAGGTAGCTAGTTATTCTGGAGCACTAAGTGCTGTCGATTCACTGAATCGTTTGGTCCCCTGGAACAAGGACCATAAGCGTTACGCTCATTGAGTTTTGTTCGTTAGAACAAACTTGCTCGTTGGGCGTTAAGTCTTCCTCTGACTCAAGGAGCTGTGTACCTCCGCTACACTTGGTAGCACTTGTAGTCAATCTACGCCTGAGTCTATTTAGACTGATCTTCTGTGAGAATGGAAAAACCCAATCTTCTCTCTGAGGCCCAAAAGGTCGCGCTTGAAAAGATGACCGCATCTTTGGGTCCAGAGTACGTGAAGTTCCTTGTCTCACAAGTCTATGAGGTGCTAAATGCACGTGTTGAAGGCTTCATGCAGTATGATGCGTCTTTTCTCGGGCAGGTTCCGGGACCAAACAGCGTCGGCTATGTCTGCACGCTATGTGTCTTTACATAGTGAATAGGCTAGGTCTCGTCCACTTAGAGTGGAAGTTAAGAACTACTCCGGTAAGAAGGGTGAATACCTCATCCTCTGAATCCGTGAGATTGAGATGGCCATGAGATCAGGCCGGATAAAGCTTGACCATCAACAGGTCTCGCTGGCTATCTCAAAGCTCGATGAAAGAGCTAAAGAATGGGCCTTGACATGTAGCACGTCGGTTGACCTTAGCGTTACCTACATGGGAGTCGCTAAAGTCACAACTGGTACATGTGTTCTCACCACCACACAAGCTTACCGCGTGCGTTCACGTTTCTTGTCTACCCTTCAGGGTAAGAATGAGCTATCGGACTATGTCCAAGAGTTGAGCACACCGTGGATGCAATGCAGTCT